GCTTGGCCAAACAGCGCGCATAAAAAAGCAAAAACACGGAGCTGCGATCTGTGCAATCGCCGATGACGAGGTGCATAAACGACGCCCATTTATTGAGCCCTCGCGGCTCTAATAACTTTGGATGGGGTGCGGGATGGGGAGTCCCCGGCTCCAGATCGTCGATCGCCGATCGTCGATCGCCGGCTGGAAATGGAGGTGGAAATCGAGGTGGAGCAGGGCCACAGGTGCTCAAGGGGCTAGGTCGAACATGTTTGACGTCCACTAAATGACAGGTATTTGTCTGCAGCCGAGGGGAACTTCGGATGGGTACACCTGGCGAAAGAGGTGCGCACAATCTTGACCTAAGACCTTTGCGATGAATTCTGAAACATTACTAATATTACGCATAAAATGGACATTTATTACCCCTTGTATGTACCAATTGCTTAAGTGGTTTCTACCAAACTTAGGCTATTAGGCTTATTGCTCTTGCACTATCAAACAACTTGCTGGCCAATTTTTTTCGTGTGCACCGCCGATGTTGAAGTAGTCGCATCAATAGAGTTGGACAGGAAAATTGTTTAAACTCCTTGGTTCTCGACTGCTTTTCTTGTACTTGCTGTGTGTTCGCAGCATATTTAATGAGCCACACATGTTGATGGCTCTGACAGCTTGTAAGCCGGGTTTTTATTTTTTGTTCAGCTACCTCAATGGCTCGAGTATTGCCGAATTTACTTTTTTGCTGTGAAGCTGAAGCGTGTTGGCATTTCTTCTATTATGATGACACGAATTTCACTCTATGATGAAGCCGCGCACACGAGCTCATATGCAAATGTGCTTATTAAAAGCATAGCAAATTGTTGAGAAAGGAAAGAGAATAACACTTCAATTCAAGAAATTACATCTACTTGCGGTGGGAAAGGTCTTGCCTACAGCTTCTTTTGTTGAAATTGATTTTGGTCTGGAATTTTATCCCAATTGATAATTTGGCTATTTGAGTACCTAGCAATAACATCCCAAGAACCTTTATGCTATTACACATAACTGACATCTTTGAAGTACACATAACCAAAGTGATATTTATTTAGTCGTGCATTAAGAACATAAAGAATGAATAAAACGTGAAGTTTTAGTTTGGCGTATTGATAGACACAATCAGCGATCTCAACTTTGCTAACTAGTGTAGTCATGCTCACGTTTCAATTCTCAATGATCGCTTATTGACTCGCACTGACTTCGATTTCTATTCGCGTTCCGTGTTCTAAGACAATTTGCAAAAGTGAAAATAGGCCCAGATCTGAATCTCGGGCGCGGTATTTCGCTTTCCATTCAGTCGACTCTTTCCGGAGCTATCCATTGTTATTAGATACTTTGCCTGGCCGAGATTTACATAATCCTAAGTGCTAGTTGAGCTTCTTTGAGCCACGATCGTTCGGTGAAAGTTGTTACAAATTATAAGTTTAGAATGCGCCCAAAAATATGCCCAGTAGTCACAAAACAAAGGCCAGATCCACAGATCTGGAGTGGAAAACAACGCAAAATGCTGCACTCGACTTGGCGTTGGCTTTTCGCCTTTCACAAATCAACGTCCAAATATGGCGGGAGTGCTCTCCATCGCCTTCCCGAAAAGACAGATAAATAAATCTGTCAGTGGGGCGTTGCTACTGTGTCAAATGGTCAGACGGGCCAACAAAGTATCTATCAGATACGAATGCTCAATACCCAATTTTATTGTTGTCGAATCGATGTCACGGCTACAGTGCCACTTGGAGCTCTTTTCTGGCTCAAATAGAGAATTTATTGTCGACCAAGTGGTTTTGTGGCGTTTCGATACAGTCGAACTAGTCAATTGGGTTGATTTCTTGTGTCTTCACTTTTGCTAAATACTGATGTTACACTCGGCTGAGAAGCTGACTGTGCTCTTAATGACTAAATTACACACTTCATTTATTTTCAAGTTTAAGGTGGAATATATTTTAGAGCTTCTAATGAGTTAACCGTTTCTATTCCTTTACCATGGAATTATGGAATATTATTTTTAAAAATGTTTTGAGTATATTTAATTCATACCTAACAGGTAAACTGCTATATAATACCCATGTTTAACAGTCAGAAAACTTTTTAACTTTCGAAGGGAAAATTCTTGAATTCTGGAACAGAATGCCACTTCTTTATTGATCACACTTTTATTTTGATCATTTACAGTTCCTTGCTAGATTCAGCTTTCAAAAGCATTGTAAAATGCCTTCTTTACAAACCCATCCAACTAGGTTAGTGAAACCGAAACCCTAAAGACTTTTAATTTCTTCGAAATTCGAGTAAACTGGGTTGATGAAGCCGAGCGAAACTCTTCACTGTGATTAACTAATCGAGCAATCAGGGTCTTTTAATCTCAACACTTTCGCTCAAAGCCCGGTGGCAGTCTATAAATGACTTGATTAATTTGGCGCAGTGTATGCTCGGGCCAAAATAAAAAATAAAGAGAGTAAATAAATAAAGCTGTCCGGGCGTAATTACTTGGCCCCATTAAAGAGGTTCTTCTGCTGGACACCTGAGTGGCATTTGCTCCCACAGCCTCGCTTTCTTTCGGTTCTGTTCTCCTTGGTTTGGTTTGGTTCGGTTTGGCTTGGTTTGGTATTGTCTTTGGCCATGTAATTACCGTAATTTATTTATGAGGCGACTGGGCTTACACACGTTCTGAATATGGCTGAATCACCATAGAATTTCTAGATAGTATCTGCGAGTGCGTGGAAAAATATGGAATTATGTTGGCCCCAGGGCAAATTGCTTTTGGAAAATGTGTAATTAAGCAGGCGATTTTCACCAACTGCAGTTTCTTTTGCAGGTCCTAGGGCAATCTCCGCGAAAGAGAGATTTCGCCTCGATCCAGCCAGCAATTTCAGTGTTCTAAGCCTCCATTTTCATGGCCAAGTACACGACACTGGCATGCAAATGAGCCGCAGCCACAAGTGGCTCTCAATTAAAAGCAGAGTCAAGCGCAACAAAATAAAAGTCAACTGCAGCTGATTTATTGTGTGAAACTGAAATTCTCTGGGTCTGATTCGGTGACTTCTGCTCGTTTCGTGCCTCGTGAAAGTTTCTCTAGCATAGATCTCCTGTGGCCCGGCATTCAGATAATGACTTGATTAAAAGTTGTCATGAGAACCAACTGCCACTAAATTGTGCAAGGCCAAAAGCAGACCCACCAGTCCGGTATGCAAAGAGAGCTCCAATTAAGCGAAGAAGCTCTTCTCCACATGGCAGAGTGGGTTCCTGCTGCGATCACTGGGGGTATGGCCCCTGGATGGCTTTTTCCGACTCCACTACATATTTCAAATGAATCGTTCAATCTAGTTGCCTGAAAACCTCAAATGAAAATATTTTATGCATCTCATATAGGGAATTCAGTCAAAACAGAAATAGGTTAGGTGTCATTGAGGTTTCAAGTCACAGTTTCTATTATTGAATCAGTTTTAGGAACAGTTTCTATTAATTAAATCAGTTTTAGGAACAGTTTCTATTAATTAAATCAGTTTTTGGGAACAGTTTCTATTAGTTAAATCCATTTTTGGGAACAGTTTCTTTAGTTAAATCCATTTTTGGGAACATTTTCTAATAACTAAACCAATTTTTAGGAACAGTTTCTAATAATTGAACCAGTTTTTAGGAACAGTTTCTAATAATTAAATCAAATGAAATAAATTTTCTATAAGTTTAATAATTATATGTACATTTAGACGCATATTCCTATTAGCATTCCTACTTTAATTCATATGAATTATCGTAACTTCCTTGAAAAAACATTTTAAATATTTTACTTCATCATTAATTTATCATTACGAATTTTGTCAGGGTATCAAATCCTTCTCCATCCCACAAGCGGAAAATCCCCCGGTTCTTTCCAGACTTTTCGTTTCCATTTGCATGCCAGTGAGTTTTCGCTGCTAATCACGTTCCTAATGAAAGTGGCTGCAGTGGCCAGTTCGGAGTGCTCCGCTCCGTCCAACGATTCTGTGGCTTGTTGTTAGTTGCATGTTGTGTGTTGTGTGTTGTGTGTTTCTGTGTTGTTAGTTAGCTTTTGGCTGCTGACCGCTGGACTGGGGAGTTGGTTCTGGGAGAACTCGGTGGCCAGAAGTCTGGCAGTCGGTGGATCTTGTGCTGGCAATGACCGCCATTCGCCGGGCTTTATTTGATTTTCATGTTTGTTTGGCTGTTTTCCAGTTGTTGCGTTTGCATGCAACTCGCGTCTGGCTTTCTGGACTTGGAGGAGTGTGAAGTGGAGGCTTCTTCAGACCAGTTTTCTTGTGTCCCTCTTGTTTTGAGTGTTGCTATTTATGACTGCGACTTGGTATCGCTGCCCCCCTCGTTTTGTGTATTTATTGATGGATTTTGGCAGCATTTGCGTTTGGCCCATTTCCGTGCGCCAATTTATGCCAAACTCTCGAAGTGCAGTGGATAAACAAAGCGATAAAGTTGTGTGAAATTATTGCGGAATTAAGTTGGTTACTCTGAGAAATCTGTTTTGTGTTCAGCTGTTTTTTGTTGAAAGTTTATAGTCTTAGGGTGAAAGATTTATATGCATTGATCTTAGCAAGGGCTCAACATCAAGGGATATTAAACTTATGTTTTATTACCGGTAAGCTTAAGTAGTGTTATTAATAATCCAAAAGAAGCTTATTTGATTAAGACCCGAACACGAAATGGCTTGCCTGTATTTGAAACTAGAAATTAGCTCCGACTTTTTCATGAGTACACATATAAATATCTCCATTTCCCGAGTTAGACTGTCATAACTTCAGTTTCTACCTGAGTGCCGTCTTACTTAATCTGAATCTTCACAATCCCTCGCACATCGCGTACTTGTAGTACGCATGTGGCTTTGGCTCAGTGGAAAGGTTTATGCAAATAAAGTTGTTTGCCCCGGCAACCTGTTGCATAGTTTCGCTAACATTATTCAACATCGCACTACCCACTAATGACCAGCACTTACCCACATCTCGTCTTTCTCCGTATCTTTGCAGCTGCGAAGCGAACAAATTTTCCTTCCTTGCCGCCGTATATAAATATATGGTTCATTAAAAGTGTGGCAGAACTTTGGCACTGGCGACAGGTAACGAGCGACGACCTGTGGCAATGCTCGAGCAAATTGTGCGGGTAATTTCCAGCTCGGTTTAATTTGGTCTAAGTCGCAGCCAAATGGGCATGCGCACCGTTGGCCGCCGCTGTCATTCGAAAGTTGCCTCTGCGTGACACACATTTCGGAGCATTAGAAGCATTCGACTGGCAGACAAGTTGGAGCTCTGCCCTGCCGCATCTGCTGGGAGATATACGCATCTGTAGAGGAGCATATACATACGTGGGCATACCCAAGGGGTACCTCGGCAACCTCAACAACCAGGGGACTCTGCGCGGGCCGGCCCAAGTCCAAAGTCGCCACTGTTGCATTATTCATGCTCTGCGGCGGCATCCACGTCCACTGCTACGCAACGGGAACGGGATCGGGATCGGGAACGGAATCCACGAACGAAGATGACGCTGCGCTTAGTCAGCATTTTGTCGGCGGCATTACTGCTCCTATGGCCCGCACAGCTGGATGCATTTATCACACCGAATACAGGTGAGTTCGGGGCTAGCGGATAATGTCTGTGAAATGTGTGGCATTGGGTGAGATGGTTGCATCTCTGCGGCGGATGATAGCTGATAAAGTGGAAAATTTCCTATGCAACGATGATTTCAGACTTATTAGTCTAGCTATAGAAACCATTTCAAAACATAGTTTAGCATCTATATACGTATACTAATTTCAAATTTGCTGCATTCATGTCAGGCTGCCATCACAATGGCACTTGGTTCGCGGACAAATCGGTGGTGCCCAGCATGGAGAAGTGTCTGAATTGCCAGTGCAACCGTAGGACGCTAGTGTGTCGTCTGAAGGTGTGTCCCGAAATGCCAATGCCACCGCCCAGGGGCTGTGTGGTGGTCCAGAAGAAGAGCTCCTGCTGCCCGTATCTTTCCTGCGCTAGACTGGATGCGTTCTACAAGATACCCACCAAGCGCCGCATCATCGCCTATCTGGATCACTACGAGAGGGAGTCCATCGACCGGGTGGTCAACGATAACATGCTGCAGAGACGATCCGATGATTCTGACACGGATATGTTTGGTATGCACTATATACAAGTAGTATTTTATATCGCAAGGTTCCTAAAGTTAATTTCCTGTTTTACAGTTTGTGTGAAGAATGGCACTGTCTACAAGTCGGGATCTGCCATGTCATCTTCAAACTTGTGCAGCTACTGCTATTGCATAGGTAAAAGATATAGTTATAACATCATTAATTAAATTACTAGTTTTCTTTTTTGCCCAATAGGTGGCACCGAGAAGTGTGTGAAGCCCAAGTGCATGCTGCCCGTGGAGGGTTGCAAGCCCATATTTGTGGACTCCACCTGCTGTCCCGTGAGATACGATTGCAGCAGCAAGACGTCGGGCAAATCCTCCCAAGAGGTGCGCTACAGGAAGACCTCGAACAAGCACTTTCTGCGCATGTCCCAGCGCCTGCAGCGCAATCGAGGCTGCACTGTAGGTGCCCAGTTCTACGCAGAGGGTCAGAAGATGCGATCGGATGCGGACAGGCCCTGCGACATATGCTTCTGTATCCGGGGCACCAGGCGATGTGCTCCCAAGAAGTGCTCGCCGGCTCTGAAGAACTGCATTCCGGTGGTGCCGAAGGGTCAGTGCTGTCCATCGAGTTACGATTGTGGCAGTCAGCGGGATTATCGTCGGTCGCACAACTCCCGGCAGTTTAATCTGTATAATATGCTGTTTGGCAAGGAGGAACCGGAGCAGCAGGAGACAGCCTTAATACCCCAGAATTCCATGGCCGAGAGGTATCCACACGATCGTCATCCCACGAGGGCAGCTCTGGGGAATCCCCTGGAGGTCAGTAGCGAAAAGAGCATTATGGACACACTTCGCGAAGGCCTGGAGTTCATAGATGGCAATAACAACAAAATGTTGGCCAATAACTTGGACCTTGTGGGCATAAGAACCACCCAGTCACCGCCTCTGATGAGAACGGAATCCAGTGAGGAGGTGAGCAGTACTACGGCACTAAGCTTCCTGGACCTGCTCCTGGGTCCCAATGCGGAATCCACGAGCCACGATGAACTACGGCAACCAGAATCCACTACGCCCAAAAACACACTCTCCTGGATGGATATACTCTTGGGACCGGATGAAGAGGAGCTCGGCCCCAAAACAGAAGCCTATTTGGAGACTAGTACCACTCTAAACCAACCAGATGGGTTCAGTCCTTCAACGAACAGCATAAAACGTATTGCAGAAGACTTTGACGAGCAATTGGACAATGGAGAAATGGCTGTGGGTGAACTGCCGGCGGAGGCCCAACAAATTGGCATCGCGAATGCTGGAATATGGCCAACACCAGCTACGGAAGTAATGCCCCCTCCAAAAGAGGAACCGAGTCTATTCAATGTCTTAATTGATGGCTTGTCTGGAATACTCGAAGAACCACTCAATCAAACCTCCAGCTCCACAAGTACCACAACTACCACTGAGAAACCAACCACTCTGCCTGCACCACCCATGTTTCGACCATTGCCAAGTGGCAAGCCCGTTCACACACGAATCAACTCCAAGCTGGCAAACCTCACAGTGACACCGCCCATGTTGGTGGTGACTAGCAAATATGGTCAGCCGGTGACCCATCGGACGTCAAATAAGAGGGTCAATGCAACCACTAGTGCTACGATAGCCAAAAGCACAGAAACACCAAGTACAAGCACCACCCAGCGAACCAAAGTAGATGCCACCATTAAAACCACAGCTAAGCCGAGTTCTACGGTGAAACCCAAGTCGAAGACCACTAGAAAAACCACTACTACTCCAAAACCTACAACTGCAAGACCTACAACTCCGAAACCTACTACTCCAAAACCTACTACTCCAAAACCTACAGCGCCAAAACCTTCCACAACAAAGCCCACTACTCCAAAGCCAACTTCTGCAAAACCCGCACCGCCACCGAAACCCCCAACTCAAAGACCCACAACTCCGATACCTTCCACTGCGAAACCCACTACAACCACAAGCACCACCAGCACCACAACAAAAGCCATCATTCGCACCACCAGCAAGCCAAAATTCAAGCCAAAACCCAAGCCCTATGTTACTAGTACTCCGAAACCGCTGGTGATCGAAACCAATCCGAGTATCCTGGAGGCTGAGCCACTGGACACCAATGGTGAGCCCACACTGCCTCCCAGTCTGCCCAACCTGAAGATTATACCATTCCTCCCAACCGATGCTGTGGATACGGCTCCCAAGGAGCAGTATCCCACCAACTTCTATCAGCAGAAGGTGGCTTCGGATAAGATGGACGTGGTTGGCTATGATACCATGGAGGACACGGTGGCTCTATACTCGCAGTCCCAGCCGGATCAGGCTGCCTACAAGTACAAGTTCAACGTGGAAGTGCCAGCCGCGGAAGCTGCTCCAGAGCCAGTGGTTCATGTGGGTGGGAAATACGAAGGAAGTGCGGCCTACGTTAACTTCGACTTCGAAAGTCCTGTGGTGCCACCTCCTCACAGCGGATTCTCGCCGCCCACCGAAACGGAGGGCGGATTCATGCCCAAGGAACCGCTGGTTATCGATGGCGAAGTCCTGCAGGAGCACGTCACCTCGAGTGGAATCAGCGGCCCCCTTGATAACTTCCATGTGACACAGCACATTATCGACATCACAGGTTCGGGAGCTCATGAAAATGATACTGCTTCTATAGGTGAGTGGATCATCATATCTTTTATGGTTGCATTTAAAGCTTTTAAAAGGTTTGCTGTTCGCGCTTTCCGCTGAAATGAATTGCAATTATTTAAAATATGAAACTAAACTAGCACATCAAACTATTAATTAATGAAAGAATTGCCTCCATCCAGATTTAACTGAAGATGTCCACTGGTTTTCCCCCTTTTTCAGAAATCACCACTCCCGACCCCTTCAAAGATGTCATACACACAGAGCCGTCGCCCAATCTCGATGAACTAATCGTTGACAAGGCGAACAAAAAGCCGATTGAAGAGCACATTGAGACCGTCACCTACAGTGTAAGCAATTCAACAGCCTCCTCCCAATCCTCACCTGCAACTGGCACAACCAGCACCTCCGGCACATCCACAACAACGACAACGACAACGACAACGGAAAAGGAAGCCCCCGTGATAGATAAATATGAAATCAATAAATTGGATAAGCTCTTGGATGAGCTGCTCGGTTTGGAGTTGTCCAAAGAGGATGCGGCGAGCAGCACAGTGCCTGCATTTAAGCAACTGCCTACGGCAGCGCCAACGACGGCAAAGTCAACAGCAGCAACAGCAACTGCAGCAACAGCAACAGCAGCAACAGCAACAGCAACAGCAACTGCATCAAGCACGGCAGCAACATCAACAACAGGTCGACCAACAGTGATGACACGTGCTCCGGCCAAAAAGGGAAACGGCAAGACGAAAAACAAACAGACCACCGGCAATAGACGCAAAGTCCAGAGTGGCACGCGACGCCAAAGTACACCGGCAACCACTCGATCCCCGCCAGCAGCGACATCAGCGGCATCAGCGACATCAGCGGCATCAACAGCGTCAACAGCCGCGGGGCAGGCCACAACAACGGGCAGCACTCTGCATCCATTTTTAAACTCACCGTTCGACAAATTACCCTTCATGGACGCCAGCTATGAGGTAAAACCGCACAGATTGCAACCACAGCAGCAGCAGCAGCAGCAACATGAGCAGCCACCGCAGCAGCAATTCCACCATTACCAACATGCAACACGACCGTCGACAGCAGCCCCACCAGCTGCACCATCCTCCCCGGAGGATGTGCCCCAGGATGCGGGTTCGGGTTCGGGTTCCAGTTCGGGCGGAGTGGGCGGACTTCCGGGTGGCGATGATCCGCTCGGCCAGCTGAAGCTGGCGGGCTGCAACATATACGGACGCATGTATCGGGTGGGTCGCATTATCGTGGAGTTATCCAGCCAGTGCCTGGAATGCAAGTGCACCGAGGTGGGCGTCAAGTGCGGCCCATTAGACTGTTAATTTAGATATTCCCCCATGATTGTAGTCCCCATGAAGTCTGTAGAGGTTAAGTGTCAGTTTGTAGCAGTAGCTTTTAGTTCGCATGCTAATCCCTAGCTGTATCGTACTACAGGGTAGCTTAGGCCTCCTCCACACCCTAAGTTGTATTATAGAAAAGAGATCACATTCACATATTTAAGATAGATACTTAGCATGGCATTTATAACATACACATAATTATTAGGCTATAAATAGATAAGTACACGAAATATATTTAATAAAATGAACAAATTAATCAACAAAACTAAATATTTCTTTGAAAAGGGGCTGATTAAAAGTCAACAGCATCTTTTCTGCCAAGCCAACAAATTGGGCTAAAAAAAAAAGTTTGATCGCATTTCAACCTTGTGACTAATAAAAAATTGCTAGTTTGGGGAAATGATTTTACGAATTGTGTTGAATTTAATTGCCCATCAAGATTATTATGGAGTCCATGACTTTAAATTCAACATTCCTGTCTCTGTCAGCAATAATTGGCCACAACCCCTCGATGAGTAATTAATTACATCTATAGAAACTTATTCAGTTAGCAAGTATAGGCCAATTAAATGTGTGGCAAGTGAAGAGCACATAAAAACAAGCCATAAAACACAGACCACCCTTTATGAGGTGTAAAATTAATGTTTATGCATAACACCAAAATTAAACATGACCATCGATGAAAGAATAATAAGTTTTCAACGGATTTTGCGACCAAATAAAAGAGACAGTCCATAACAGTAGCAAACTGAAAAAATTGGCTATTCAGTTAAGGACTGTTGGATTGCCAGAATATTAAATAGTCAAATGAGTTGTGGAGCTTATTCGCATTGCTTAATGAGTTCATCAAATTTTAATTGCACTAAATTATTGATCTAATCAAAGACAAGATAAGATAAGATTAAAGTAACTGCCTTCAAGTTGCTTTAAATCAGCTTTTTGCTATACATTAAATGTAAATTAAATTAAATATTATTTGTATGTGAAATGAACTATCTTAATTGAGACTAAGAGTAAATGGCCTTTTGATTTGATGGCTGCAGGCGTCGGTAGATGATAAAACCGCACACAAGTCCGGCCACGCCCCCTCCAATATGGGCCTCCAGACTGGTCCGCGGATTGCGATTGTGATTGTGGCAGAAGTGGTAAGTTGTGAAGCCCACATCGCTGAGGAGCAGAATCAAGAGGGAGGCGACGCGGGCGAAGCGCTGCGACAATTGCGAAAAGTTCTGTTCGACAAAGTAGGGATCGTGTAAACATTAAATCAAAATTAAATTGCGGTTTCCAGCTGACTGACCAGAACCAGGTGCGGCACATGACTTCCCAGCATGGCATAGACCCCGGCGGAGGCCCCCACCAGCTGGAGATGGGGCTGCAGCCAGGCATTGGCCAACGAACCGGCAACGCCACCCATCATATAGACCACGGCCAGGCGACAGTGACCCTGCTCCACTTCCAGGCAGATACCTATAAAGCACTGGCAGAGACATTAACCTTCTTAGTAACACAATGCAACAACAGGTGGCTCGCGGCAGGATGTGAGTTCACTTTTACTATCGAACTGCTGCCAACTAGGTGCTTTATGTCATTTTAAGCTGTAGACAGCTGCTGATGATCGTTTCAATAATTTAAAAAACAAGCAAATCCACAAATTTAATAAAATTATACTTAAATATTGTGTGAAGTTCAGTAGGTCAAAGCTGCGTACTCACCTGAAAGCAAATGTTGAGAGTCAGGTGCCAGTAATCGGAATGGAGCAGCATGTAGGTCAGTAGTCGCCAGTACTCGCCGCTCCACTCCGGCTTGAAGATCAGTAGTTTTTGCACACACTCTCCAGCTAGCCAGTGCAATGATATCTGGTAATGAGCAACGAAGAAATAGCTTTACTTGACTACTTGAAAAGATTATGTGCTTGGTGCAGGGAAGCCTGAATTTAACATAAATAGTAGCGAAATTATTTGGAGCTTGCCCTGATAAGCAGCAGTGAATAAGCGCGGCATCGCTTTGTTTTCAACTTTAAAATTGCTTACTCACAAGCAAAGCAAGAATTCAAAATTCATATTTTGATAAGTAACACATTTCAGCATAACTTCTTCGTAAGAACGAAACTTTGGCATATTGCAGGAAATACGATTTTCAATTGAAGTCGTGCAAAGTAAGCCCCAACTTTGCTGAACAGTGTCACGGTGACTGGCTGTCACTTTCGCTCAATCGATCGACACTTGGCCAACTGAGAAGTGCGAGTGTTGAGTTGAGATGCCGCACAATGCGCGCCGCATGAGTTGACAGCAGCCACAGAAACACGGCGGCGACACCAAATCGGTGCAGCATGCATCCAGATCCCACCAAATATGACAAATGCCAGAGCTCCAAGTTGCCTCAAGTTGCTACACTCGATCAATCCGATGACTAAAATGGCAATATTGCTAAGTCGGACGACTAAGCGACGCGTTCGATTGTGCAATCATTGGCGATTTCTGGGTTGGGCCAAACAATAAAACCTTTCCAATCACCGATCTGCATTACTATGTGTGCAGAGTGTGTACTTGAGGTATCAATTAATGAGTTGCGAATTAAATGGGCCACACTTGTGGGACTTTGTTTCGAAGCGAATTTCCCAACATCCAATTGGCAATACAGCGGTTGAGCACTTGCTAACAGAAATAACAAAGAACTAACTTAACAGGGCTAATTTGCCTTAAGCATGTTGCCCAAACAATTTCGATTCACTGTGAATAATCAAAAATAAAAATAAATTGTAATAAAGCGCCTAATTTTACTGCGGTGACTAATTAAAAACCATAATTGTTTGAAAATCCATCAGAGGTAAGTAAAACCCTTAGAAGTAAATGTTGCAGTTGCTTGCTGTTTGGGATGTATCGGTGTAATCCATCACTTATTTTCCGCTTAGTTAAAACCGCAATAAATCCACATACATAAACTATTGAACAAATTTTCCAGTGAATGAAAATTCATATGAATTGAAAAGCAATTATTTATGAAGCACTCTCACTATAGCACCATGCACGGGTAAACAAAACAAGAGCAAACGAATTTTTTTGTTTAAAACAAATTAGCAAAAAAGATTCATAGATGCGGGATTATAAACAGAGCATTTCTATTCGGTTTTTTAGCACAATATGGAAAAAATTAGGAGCTTATCAGTTGAAAGTTCGTCTTTGGTGAATATTATATTTTCAAAAGCGCTTGTTATATTTCAGATGGCATTGAAATTTCGCTTCACATCCAGGAACTCATAACTCAATTAATTTAACATTGATAATCATCTTCACAGGTAATTTATTGGCATGCGTTATTCTTATTTGCTGAAAGCTTTTCATCGCTTCTAAATGATTTCTGAATGCAACACACGCATTACTCATACGCCACGTTGACGGGCAGACAAAATAAAAAAAAAAAAAACAAAAAAAAAACACAAATAATAGACAATCGAACAAGTGGAGCAACTGCATAAAATCGAACCTGCATAAAACTCATCAGCAAAATAAACCAGGGCACCCGCCACAATCGCTTCCTCCTCACATGGCCCACGCCAATGGTTTGTGTCAGGTCATCAATGGATTTCTTGTGCGATTCCGCGCTGGAAACGACACTCGCCGGATTGCCATCCGAATCCGAAGAGTTCTCTGGCAGCAGCAGGAGCCTGACATCCTTGACGCAATTGTTATTACTTTCACTGCCACCATGGCTCTCCAGTTGGGCACACATAATGCGATTGGAAGGCGGCGACAACCGATGCGCGGAACGTTGAACGCGCGACTAGGCCGAGTGGGTGATTGTTCTTTCAAAAGCCCCACGATCCATTCCGATCCGACCGAATCGCGCCGGCTGCCTACAACATCATTTTGATTATGGCGCTCATACGCCGATTTTGCGATTTTTAGAAGCATGCTTTTAGGCGAGCGAGGGTTCTTGTCTCGACTGCTTTTCAGTTCTTATTACATTGAAGGAAAATCTTCAGCTTTACACTATCACTTGATATGAGATATTGGTTTCTTCGTTAGTAAGTGCACTTCGTTTTCAGTTCTATTATTTGAAAATATATTTTTTAACTTTCTTATTGAAAGACACACAGGGAATGAGATTAAAAAGCTGTCTGTTTTAAATACCCGTCAGAAGATTGCAATATTTCTACTCAAGGCATTTTATTCAAGGCTTAAAGTAGAAAAACATTTGTACCATTCAATAATAACCTTTACAAATTTAAGTGGCATTTTGAAATGAACGAGAGAAAAAGGAATCCCTATTAAGGTTTTATGTATGTTGTGTATCTTTAGAGCTGCACTCTTTATGCATTAAATCAGCACATTAATCAGTTGCAGTGGATGCTAGTTCTAGAAAAGAGTTAGATGATATAAAGGCGATTCGCTCCTGAATTTCAAAGGCTTATGCTCATTTGCCTGCGGCCAGCCGCTAAACGCTTTAATATTCCAGCCAACTTGTAGCTCGAATTTAATTTGGCCCAGCCCCATCCTTGGCATTTGACATTTTAGTGCGAGCCATGTTGCACGGAGCAACAAATTGCAGCAACAATTCCAACACGCCAGCGACTTGTTTACACAGAAATGTGGTGAAAAGCTTGCGCTCTCTCTTTCCTCGAGCTCTCCCCCTCTCTTTCGTTTGCCAGCAGCCGTCTCTTTCTACGCTGCGCTCTGGCTGGACACGTGGTGGGCGTTGATGGTGGGAGGCAACTGTCAACACCGAATGCCTGGTTATGAATGGCTTTTAATGAAATATTTATGTAACAGGCAATAAGGAGCACTTTTGGCTTCTCGGCGGAGGCGAAAGAGATAGCAGCATTGCGAAATAGAAGTGCAGAAAGAGAGGGGGAGCACAGGAGTGTTGGCAATAATTGTTTGGCTAGTTAAGTTTGACGGTACGTTGAACTAAGATAAAGCAAAACACATAAACGAGGAAACACACACTTGTCACAACTTGCCACAAACACACTAATAGAAGTTTATAGTTCATTTTTGCTGGTAAAATGCAACTTGATATATATTATAAATGTAACTGCATGTTACAATTTTTGTTTACTAATTTACGTCTTGTATAAACAAGAAATTATCCTAATAAGCTGTTAGTTATAACAATTATAGTTCGCTCAATATATAAATATTTTGCCATATTTTGGTCGCTTTTCACCCTTTTTATACTTAACCGCAACAGAACTTAATTGAATTTTTTTGAGTGCTTGTCGAAAACTTCCTTTGCTGTTTGTATTGCCAAAAGTCATCAACAGTCAACCGCTACGTGCCACAGAAGTGGCAGTTTCGCCCAAAAAACCACAAACTGACAAATGCGACGAGGCCAAAGGAAAGCGAGAAAGTTGGCTAAGCCAGACATAGAACATATCTCGGCTGATGTGTCTGATGTGTCTGTGCGGCTTTATTTGTTGGCTCCCGGCTTACATGAGACTCACCCAAAGACGCAAGGAGCGGATCACGTGGCTAGAAAACGTGGGATACGAAGTCTCGTCTCTAGATTAATGATATTAATTGTGAAACACTTTGCTCACTGCACAACAATTTTATTAGTAATATTTTAATCAGCACTTAGGCCTTATCAAATGACCAAACTCGTATATTGCCAGCGAAACACTTCAGCCGGCCAGTGAGGCCCCAAGGGAGCTGCATAATTTGGGGGGCCAGACCACTTGGCCCGTTTTCCCTCGAACAGGGCCAAGATGTTCCACTTTAGCAGCACCCAAATCCTAAAGGCCAAGATTCCGCACAGCTAACTTACGGAAGCGAAAACGTTTAGGCAAATCTTTCGGCCAAAATCTTGGGCAAACAAGCTCATTACAGAGCGGCAAAATACAAAAATAAAATGGAAGCCAAAATAAGTCGGGGGAAAAGTGTGCCACATGATTGAGTGACTTGCCTGCCAGCCCCCAAAAAAGGGGCTAAAGGGGGCGTGGCACATTTTGAAGAACATTACGGTCGCAGTTTATGACCGCAATTTTATTGATACCGCCAAGGGGAGCGAATACAAAATAAAATAAAGCCACCCAAATCGGGTAAATCCGAGAAGCCCCAAGGAATCTCAATGGATTGCCGGCTATAAAGCGCAGTGGGAACAACTTGTCGAGAGTTCGCCTGCGATGCTGGGCGGGTTTATTACGTACACCCAAACACACAAAGGCAATAACAATCACCACCGAGCACTACAATAAACTAATCTAATGTGCGCATCAAATTTGCATGCTTCAACTCAGCGGCGTTTTAAAAGACTTTTCCGGAAAAGCCCCCATGACGAGGAGCGAGTAACGACATTCAGGGACAATATTCTGCATAGGCAAATATTAACCAGCTTCATTTCATTGGCATAGCATGTGTGCGCAAGATAGAGATGGGTTCCTAAAGGATTGTTCCATAATATATACATTGGAAAGTACAAAGTGTAAAAGTTTATATCTGTAAAAATAATAATCTTAATACTATGAAAACATTCGTACAAAGATATAATTTACGGACATCGGGTCGAATGAGTACAGATATTACTCGTTGAAAAGGAAGGCGTTATATGTCCATAAATTATTGAAAAAAGAATATATGGTTATAAATAAATTATTATTATTATGGTTTTAATAAATTCATGGTTTTAATACACCCGAATCGTGTGTTTATTTTCTTAAATTTAATTTGAAAGTGTAACGTAGTTTTTTGTTCTGGCTAACTTGTCGTATACGTGATATTTTTCTACAAAACTGTTTATTTTATTGGGCACTTATTATTATATGCATAAAAGCAATAGCTATATATATTTAAGGGACTTAAATTAAAGGTGTTTTGGTTTATAATAAACAAAGACGAGTGAAAACGTTCAGGTCGAGCTCCTCGACTATTAGATACCAGTTACTCAGCTAGCGGAAGAGAAATTAACGAGAGAAATTAGCGAGAGAGAAATTAAAAAAATTAATAATTTTTGAAAAATCGTGAGGAAGTCGGATTCTTGCAAATCGAAAGAAATCGGCTATTGATCCTGAAGAATATATATGGTCGGAAACGCTTTCCGACCTGTTGTATACTTTTCAACGAATATAGTATACCCCTTTACTCTACGAGTAACGGGTATAATAATTTATTGATTAGTAGTGCCTTCAGTCGCGTGCCCATAATTGGCCATCTCTACGACATGAAGAACCGAAGATTTTGCGGTCTATTGGACGTGTATGAGCATAAGTAAGATGCACAGGATGTTTGTCCGTCCCTTTTCACGAAAGTCCTTTCTCGCCCCCGCAGGATCCCTTTGCTGAATATGTGTGAGTGCGTGTGCATGAAAGTTGGTTGGTGCGTGCCTCCGATGCAAACTCAATTATTTACTAAGTGGGCCAAAAGGCATTCAGCAGGCGGGAAAATCCCCTTACCACTCCTCCATTGCCGTCTTGTTTTAGTTGTAACTGTTGTAAGTCCCTTTTCCACCATCTTCCAACTCTGGGGAAATTTGCATTTTATCATCTCATGGTTTTGGCCCACTTTCCACTACCTCCAGCGTCCCTTGTCGTCAGTTATTGCTGCTAGGAAGGGCTTTGCTTTTAATTGGTTTTCTTAGGCGAGAAGCGTCTTAGCTAGTTGGCAACACGAAGGGGAAATCTTATTGCCGGTGTTGTCTAACATAGTTGTTAATTTACTGTTAGGCGGCACTAACTTATAATTGTTTAATTAGCAAGTAAAATACGGGGAAAATATGTGGAAATTATTAGATTTCAAGGACGCTACACAAAGGATGTGGGCGTAAGAGCATGGTTGTTTGCATGTCCTGGGAATCCGCACATGGCATTTCAATATGAGATTAATATTGAAGCTACGGAAGCAATTTAAATTGTTAATTAGGTAAGCAAAATCTCGCATATGCTTTTTTAGAAATATATTTTTTTTTCTTTACTAATTAAAACTGTATTTTTAGGAGTTATTGCAAATAATTTTGTTTTAAAAGTTCTATATATCCATATATATATAATTCTACTTTATTTAATATCCTTCGACTGAAGCCAATAGATTTCAGTGTCGACTGACCAATAATATTATTAATCAATACATTTGCGGATCAAAGGATAAAGCACTAAAAAAAAAATGTAATCCTTTTTGTTTTTTTATTAAATGAATATATAATGCCTGATAAAAAATTTTGAATCTGCCCTAAAGGATTTTTTTTCATACATATGTTTATTAAGCACATTTTGTGAGTGAGTTTTTTTTTTTTATATTGGCTTCCTCGCCTTTTATTCATCGCTCACTTATTTCTCGGGGTGCACAGTTCACATTTAATAAGCTAAAAGCATTTTAGGCTCCCCTCCGAAGATATTTATCTTAACCATATGCGCATTATTTTCCCCCGCCACTGCGTATAAGCGTTTTCATTATGCCAACAATCGAGTGAGTACATAGGGAAAGTGGAAACCCTTTCGGAATTCTAATCCACCAGCCAGCGGCAGTACAAAGAGAATAGTTATATAGAAAAGTTCCCAAGTCGGAGAAGCAAGCAAATTCCATAAAATGATTCAAATAATGAATTGGTTTTCAATGGTGACAATAAATCAAATATGCATAATTGCGGTGCATCCTAACCAGATATTTCCAAAAACCAGGTCATAGGCCTCATTCCACTGAACCGCCAGCAATCGGAAACTAATTTCATACTCGACTACGCCATGATGTGCATTGTGCCCGTCTTCTATGTGGCCTGCTACCTTCTGATAAATCTTAGCCACCTTATTGGCCTCTGTTTTCTGGACTCCTGCAACAGTGTGTGCAAGCTGAGCAGCCACCTCTTCATGCATTTGGGCGCTTTTCTATATCTGACCATCACCCTGCTGAGTCTCTATCGTCGCAAGGAGTTTTTCCTGCAGTTTGATGCGAGACTGGGTGACATTGATGCCGTTATCCAGAAATGCCAGCGGGTGGCGGAAATGGACAAGGTGAAGGTAACCGCGGTGAGGCACAGTGTCGCCTACCACTTCACCTGGCTTTTCCTGTTCTGCGTTTTCACCTTTGCCCTGTACTATGACGTCAGAGCGTTGTACTTGTGAGTATTCCGGTTGACCAGTTGGAATTTCATTGATGCAGGAACTATAAACTCACTAAATTTTGAGTGGAATTTTAAAAGGAGTGGCGCAATTGTTTAAAGCCATATGTGACATTTTTAAAGAAAAAAAACCAACTAATGAAGTAGGTAAAAAATAAAAACAAATTACTGGTTTTTTTGTTTGGTCCAATTAACACAATTGGATAACTTGTAGTTTATAAATAATTATTCGAATATAGCACAGCAAATTTGTGCAAAATCCTAACCATCGCCAGTTAAACTTTAAAACCCACTAAAGCTAGCCAAATTGTCTCGGTTAGGACCTTCGGCAATCTCGCCTTCATCCCGTTCATGGTGTCCAGTTTCCCGTACTTGGCCGGCAGCATCATTCAGGGCGAGTTCATCTATCACGTGTCGGTCATCTCGCAGCGCTTCGAGCAGATTAACATGCTGCTGGAGAAGATTAACCAGGAGGCGCGCCACCGCCACGCCCCCCTCACCGTGTTCGATATCGAGAGCGAGGGTAAAAAGGAGCGGAAGACCGTTACACCGATTACGGTTACGGCCATGGACGGCAGGACGACATTTGGCAATGAGCACAAGTTGGCCGGCGAAATGAAACGCCAGGGGGGCCAGCAAAAGAACGATGAGGACGATTTGGACACCAGCAACGATGAGGACGAGGATGACTATGATTATGACAACGCCACCATCGCGGAAAATACCGGGTAAGGGGAAAGCAACGATTTGGCAGCCATGGTTTTAGCCAACCAAAAAAAGGTTTGATTAATGGCTAAGTTTGTTGTTTGGCTACCTTAATTTATGCATTTCGATTTGTGCTAAGCAGACATTTATTTCCTCTGCATTTATTTGTCAGCAGGCAAATCAGAATGTGTCAACATAAAATAATGAAAATTGCTATGCCAAAGTCAACCTCGAAATGTTTATCATGACTTTTTGTTTAACTCGTTTATTTACTAAATTTAATTAATTTGGAAAGCCAAGCCATATGCAAACTTTTCGGTTGTCCGTGGCTTCAGCACACAAAAAAGGTTTAATTAACTTATGACTATTCAATTTGCACTTATCTGCCGACACATTATTAAATGGGGGTTTTAGGCGAATCAAAAATGTGTTTAAATTAAATAATGAATTGGTTTTCAAATAATAAACCATAAAGCAGTTTCTCTACTTGGTTACAATATTTAATTAGCTTGTAAACTTGTATATTGACCACATTCGAAAGGGAATTTCGCCTAATATTTTGAAACAATTACAATTGAAATCTAGAAACACATCGGAAGCCAATTTACCAGATCTCTTCAAGCTGCATGATAAAATCCTGGCGCTCAGCGTGATCACAAACGGCGAGTTTGGACCACAGTGTGTACCCTATATGGCGGCCTGCTTTGTGGTGAGCATCTTTGGCATTTTCCTGGAGACCAAGGTCAACTTCATAGTGGGCGGCAAGAGTCGTCTGCTGGATTACATGACCTATCTGTATGTGATTTGGAGCTTCACCACCATGGTAGTCGCTTACATAGTGCTCCGACTTTGCTGCAATGCCAATAATCACTCCAAGCAATCCGCGATGATAGTCCACGAGATTATGCAGAAGAAACCGGCATTCATGTTGAGCAACGATCTCTTCTACAACAAAATGAAGTCTTTTACACTGCAATTTCTGCACTGGGAGGGTTTCTTTCAATTTAACGGCGTCGGCTTGTTTGCCCTGGACTACACATTCATTTTCTCGGTACGTTTTCACATTACTTAATTTAGTTTTTTTTTAAATAATTGGTAGCCTCCATTTTCAGACTGTAAGTGCAGCCACATCCTATTTAATTGTCTTGCTTCAGTTTGACATGACTGCAATTTTGCGCAACGAGGGGCTAATGTCATAAAAGGTCCAGTCGAACTCAATTAAATTGAGCTTTTTACAAAAAGTGCACTTGAAAAGGTCGGCATGGAAACACTCTTATTTATTTGGCTTAAAAATTAACCACTTATTTCTTTGACTATAAATGTTATCATTATGTGTAAATAAAATAAAGCGTGACATTGAAAAACGAAGCCATTTGTTTAACAATTATCAGCTAGCGCTTCAAAAATTTATTGATCAATAAAAGCATTGTTTACACTTCAACAAGCGTAAATCAAATAGCCAATATAATTAAATGGACAATTTGCAGCACGTTCTTGGCGATTATCAGTCAGTCGATTATCAATAGCTCATAAATCACTCATCCATCGACATTTTCCGAGAGTAACCAAAACGAGATGCGGAAAATCCAGGGGCACGGTGGCTCCTGTCGAGCCCCGCGGTAATCAGATCAGCCGAAACTCCACGAAGGATGCGAAGGGCAGGAGTAGAGGACGGCTACAGAGGTTTCTAATGCAATTTCTATCAAATGTCAATTGAAACCCGATTTGCCAGTCATCAGTCAGGGCCTCTATTCCACAGGCAGTCCACAGTTTGCGACCATCGAACGGAAGTCGAGATTCGTGGAAAAGTGAAAACGGGGACGAGGAAGGATGTTCGGCGGCAGAAAAAGAAGGACATGAAGCAATTTCCGCTTTCAATCACGTTTAGTGCAGCGGAAATGTGTGCAGAAATATGTTTCTTCTCCCCCTTTTCCTATGCAAATTTTTCAACCGGAATGAGGTTAGATTGAAAATTACATTTGGGTGCGGTTCAATCTATTTTCACGGAAAAGAGGGCCAATCGAGCATCATTGAGTGTCGAGGGAAACTCAATTAATTGCACATTATGCGCAAGACTCCTTGCAATTCGATTCAATTGATTTTTTGTCACACTTGCTGTCCCTTTTTGATACACACACTGCGTGCTTCACATTACACACTTTATCAATGCACTGAAAACGATTTACTGATCTTAAAGAAATAAATTGTATTAAAAATGTAAGAAAAAAAAGTAACATCACGCAATTAAGTCAGATGATTATGAATAAAAAAATATATTTATATCTACATATTAAAAAACTTTTTTTTAAAAAAAAAAATATTCACGTATTGAAGTTTTATAGAATGTACAAACACATCGGTACTCAAATTAATTATACAGTATACAAATATCAATGAATCTGTCAATCAGGGAAAGTGGACACCCTAATTGAAAACTTTGCGCTCTATGCAATTTTTCTGTGTGGCTGGCTTGACTGACTACTAGAACACATCCCGAACACGTAAATCAATATATGGCTGGATTGGCTCGTTTGCACACGAATCCTCCTCCCCTGAAGGAGAAATAAATAAAGAGCCACAGGGGCCTGGGGAGAAAGCGGATGAAATGTGGCTGTCCTGGTCAGTAAAGTGGCTGGAAACAGAAGCAACAGGCAACACACACATTACCTGCAAATTACGTCAACTGTTACTGGGTCGTTCATGAGGGCCAGGTTAAAAGAGGGCGGACCCGGAGTGGCTTCAACTCAAAATGGTCTGTTCTTCAACGGAAAAAAATAAGCAGCTACAAAAAGTTCACCGTAAAAAAAGAAGGCAGGATATGAAGCAATTTCCTTTCAACTTGGTGCTCAACATGTAGTTTACTTTGAGTAAACCAAAAAAAAATTTGACATATTTATTATATTTATTTTTCACCTTACACAACAATTAAGATACATCTTTTTTATATCGATTTTTTCGTTTTCACAGTAGACTATTCCAACTTTCAATTAATTTAATTAATTGACTTTTTAAATGAAGTGGATTTCTTTTCAGTGAAAAGCTTGGCATGAGCCACGTGACCCCTGCAAGGCAATGTGAAATGTCAGAGCACTTTCAAGAGTTCATTTGGACTCTAGCTAATTTTATACCGAACCGTTTTATGCGGTGGATGTGCATGGAAAGTACAGGTTCTGAAAAAGCGGTAAACACAAGCAGACAAATGTCAACAGGTTGTTTCTGCTGCATCAGTAATTGAGGATTAAAATGTAATGGTTTTTCGGGGAAAGCAGTTCTCGGGACACGGTATTTCACAGTATTTCAGTGAGTTCAACGATGGCATGACTTATTTATAACCCATTTGGGGTAAGCTTGTCCCTGTTCAGTTTCTAAATATACATGAATGTCCTTGATTGAGAGCTTTAAATGCAGAACGAAATTAAATGAATAAATTCTGCCCTGCTTAAAATTACTCATTATATTAAGAGCTTAATTAAAATAGTAATAAATATTACCCATTAGCAAATGCATAACTATCTTATATCTTATCTTATGAGCAATAATATTTAAATAAAATTACGCAATTTATGAATTGAAATGTACATTCGAGGATGTAAATTGATGTAAGCTAATTGTTTACTTTGGCTTGACAACACTGGCACAAAACGAAAGCTTTCACACTACAGGTGTCCTAGCGAGCGGGACGCCACCATTCGGTGGGAAGAGAGCGAAAGAGAGCGCGCCGAGCGACAAGTGTGGTGAGTTCGCCAACATCCTTGGAGACGCAGCCACCCTTGGACAAGCGAAGGCAGATTGTGCGAGGACCCAGGGCGAAATCAAAGCAAGTTGATAACGGATGGAAAGAGAAGGCACGCACACGACTGCGGGAGAGCGGAAAAGCACGAAGCCAGGCGAACTTTTCTTGCAGCAGAAGCCACGGATAACTGGACAGTTCGTCGCGGAGTTTCGAGTGTGTCGGTTGTGCCAAGGCGGAATAACGGTACATCCTTCAAAGGAAGCCTGTGTGTGTGTGTGGGTGTCTCAGTGTTGTTGCCAAAAACTATAAAATGATATCTGCCGAAATTTAAGATTATTATTATAAAACCATCCAAGAAAATACCTAACATAAAAAAGAAGTACATAGACATAGACTATGTTAATTCAGCAATTGATGCTTTGTATAAGTACTATATATATTAAACAGCAAAACTAATCAACTAAATTCAAAATAATGACTTCAATTAAATAACAAAAATGTGCTTTGACAAGAGCTCTGTTGAATAATCAAGCAGAGCAGACTGCGCAGTTTGGCGCCGCGTGGGCGTTTGCCCAAAAATACAAGAAGTAAAACCGAAGACGAACAGAAAAGAACATAAAAAATACATAAATCTCTCCTAGACAGAAAACGGTGTGTCTGCCCCTGATTTTTACTTACAAGTTGCCTTTGGAGTCTTATGCAAACGCAAGATCCTTGCACCGAAGCTATGAATCATATACAAGAAATAGCACCCCTACTTACCATAACGTATTTACTTTCTTAATGTCTAATCTGAGGTAATTCCAGTGCATAGGAACTTTGGCTTTGCAAGAATAATCAATTCCATGTTTATTGGTTTATATGTACCTCAAAAGAACTCCTTTACTCTGTTACCCTTGTGCCTGTTTGGAAAAAATATAATTATAAAGAAGCGTATTTTGTTATCAATGTTGACCAAACCCGAATTTATTTAACAAACTTTCCCTTTTAGTTATATTTTGGATCATTAAAAAGTATAGATCTTCAGCTATATACGAGCTATTGGACTAACTTTTATACCCATTATTCTGAGCGCTGCCAAGTTCCTGCAAGTTTCACATTTTCAAAACGTTGGTGTGCTAAGAGCATTCAACCTTCTGTCTGAAAAAGAAAAGACAACTTTCCACTGCTTTCTCCAGCACTTCGGCGTCTTCTTCTTGGCGTCTCGCTTTCACTTGGTCATGAAAATCAAAGTCCCCCGTGTGCCCAATGTCAATGTATTGGCCCCATCTGTGCGGATTGCCTCGGTGTGAGTGCCCGCACACACACACTCACACACACACACACACACACTTACGCAGAAGGGTACATGTAGGTGTGTATTATACGGGTGTTTGTTGTGGGGGCGTGAAAAGTTCCTTCCTGTTTGAGTTGCGTATTTGCCCGCCATTTCAGCATTCCGCTTTTTATTTACTACAAATTGCTTTGCATTTTGGACCAGTTCTCGTCGGCGTAATTTTGCTTTCGTTTTTTGTACTTTTGTGTTTAATGCGCTGTTGGCAATTTGTTGGATATAAAAGTTACGCCCCACCCCCACCAGCCTTTGAACAATGAAATATTGTAATTAACTTTGCTGCCAACGGGCAAACCGATGGAAATTTCTGCCTTCATGAGGCGGCAACAGGTTCCACGGCAGCATCAATTAAGTTTTTTAATAACCGACAGTTAACGCCTAATAAATATTCATAAATCTATCAGCTCGGCTGTGGGAAAATTACGAAGGACTAACCAGCAAATGAACTCCTCCCATCTGCCTTCAGCAAATTTTAAGAGTATTTAAAAGTTTTATATGTTTTTGCCCCATCAGAAAGTTTGTGCACCAACTTTCCCCCGTTGTCCTTGTGGGCTGTACGAAACTTTTAGTTCCATTAATTATTAACGATAATGTGTGCTCAGCTCCATGGATGCCAAGTTGGAAATTGCCAGAGAGCTGGCATAAAGTTTGCAATTAATTGCAAGCTACCGAAGGAAGTGAAGGAATTTTAATGCAAATATCTGGGATATTTGACACAGGTATTTTATGTAAAAGTGCGCCCTTTAATTACAAGTACCCAAATGTTTAGACATGAATTATTACTTAAGACTGAAATGTTAGTTCTCTAAAAATGGCACTTGTGAATCAGAAAGATTCAACGTAAGCACCTTAAGGTTTAGGGGTAATCTTAGCACTCGAGAAACAAAAAGAGCATTTAAAAATATATGCTACATTTCTTAATATTAAGTCAATAATACAATAATTACAATTTACGCATAAACTCATTGAGAAAACATTGCATAACTTAAAATAAAGCCAATTTCAATAATAACGAGACAAAAGAAGTTTACAAATATTCAAAAGCTGGCAAAACCCAATAGCATTTCTAAAACATTTGTGTAATGTATTGTATTTGAAATATTTGTGCGCACACAGATAAAGCAGCTCCACACAAAATAGAATAAAACGAAACAATAAAAGACACATTAAAGTGGAGGGAGGATGATGAAGTGAAAATAACAAAAACAGTTGAAAATCAGACGTCTTTGACTTTGCAGACGGCAAGAAAAGTGCGAGTCATGATTTGAGTTTCAGGAAACGGAGGTAAGTGTATGGATGTAAGAAAAGTGATGAGTAAGTGTTATTCTAGGCAATGCATAAATTAAGCAGAATCATATTCTGGTTTGGTATTGCTGTAGCTGCACTCCTATATTAAAGTTATTCTTTCACATTATATTTTTGAAGCGTACACACCCTTTTCTCATATTCGCTGAATAGAACGCAACTAACCCAATTTTCATAATTCATTCAACATCATCAAGCAGCTCCCCAAAGTACGGCATAGATATTCCATTTCAGCAAATGTATTAGCAAAATGCGACCCGAAACCACCACTCTAGAGATTTAAATTTAGCCCAGACCTCCGAGAACCTGTGTGTGTACATACATTTTATGTGGAGCATATACCAAATTATTGTACATAATTGAATCCCCTGAATTATTAACTCGTTGAGCTTTTAGGGTTGTTGAAAGAGGCAACATTTAACCGCCGTTTGCCTCTTAAAGTCCGCCAAGTGTAATAAAATTGAATGGCTTTAAGGCTCAAACTCGGCTGGCGCTGGAAAGTATGCTACAAATTCTGGACAGACATGGTGATGTATCTTATCGGTTTGTGTGTGTGCGTTTGGCTGTTCGTTCACCTTCTTTTTTGTCTCCTGAGACCGAAATAAAAAGTGTACCCATGTCTACTCAGTAAATATTCAGGACTCTGAACCTGAAGAAGGCATTGAACCATCAAACCCAGCCTGTAGTATAAATTTGCATACTAATGCGGTGTATAATCGCTTTTGAAATCCCTTGTGATATTAAATTTATTGCATTCCATATCATCTTAGAACAAATAAGCATAATATATGGTAAGATTTAATTTCAGTAAGTCGCATTTAATTGGAAAATCCTATAAACTGATTGCTAGTCACATAATTATTAGCCCAAATAACATAATTTTCATTTTAATCTAATTAAAGACATTTTGCCTGCAAGCAAACATAAACAATGACTCAATTTTAATGGCAAAGACAAGCTTTTGCACGACGGACTAATTACTTAAATGGAAAACATGGCAGATTTAATTGAAAATGATTGTTTAGTGGAAGCTAACAAATAGGCTTAGCACACAAGTAATAGCATTTTTGCTGGTTGAACTCAAAACGTTGTACGACTATTAAAGAACTTATAAATGCAAGTTAATGTAACACCCTTTCATTTGTTTTAATCAAACAAAGCCCTGCTTGCATGGATAAGGCATTTGCTTTTCCACATCAATCATAGCACTCAATGTCATACGATAATGCTCCACCAGCAGCTTTCAAAACAGATCCTGGGAAATAATAGACCTCACAAAAGCCCCAAGTGTAAGCGAACTTATGGGTGGCAGTGTGTAAGCATTTGAGCCGCTAGTCTGCTTATGTTCTTGGGGCTTATTAGCTGCTTATTCATTTCCAGGCCGAGTTTACTTCCAACGTAATCACACTCGACGGCGAAAAAACACGAAATAAAAAGGAGCCACATGGTGTCTGTTGCCAATGACAATAAATAGTAATGAGCAACAAAATTAATAGATATTTAAACAAATGGAACTCACTGCTGAAGCCATTTACTTGGTATTAACTTGCCAGAACCAGGACACAAAATCTTCAACTCATAGTAGCCCTCTTTATTGGCTGCTGATTGTTTTGGCCTAATGAAAGCGGGGAATTCCATTATTATTGATCTGCCACGAGCCACAATAAAAATTAAATAATCAGCATGGTCAAACGGTGATAGCTATTACTATTATTATTATTATTTCGCAACGTAAATAACATTACGCAATTGATTGGAATAATAAGAAACGCTTTAGTCGAGTGACGCGACTATAAGATACCCATTGATCCGCTACTGACGCACGAGAGGCATATGTGAAGATTCATATATTAAATTTTATACCCACTTCTTGAAGTTAACAATTCTTAAGCTTTATTTTAATACAGGTATACATTAAACATGCTTTGCCAAAAAAATGTAAGTTCAGAAATTTACGATGCAAGGCAGCAAAGCAAAAATAAAAAATGAAGTAGTAGTAAATAAGCTTAAAACCGAGCAAAAACCACTGCTAATGAATAATCCGCACTGCCCCCAATCGCAACTTTTCTCATTACTCAAATCTATATGTATATATCTGCATAATTCCCTACACAGGGAAAATAACTAAATGCCAGCAAAGTGAACAGAAATGGTTTGTCCAAAAGCGAGCCGAAAGGGGCGTGACATCCTGGAGGGCGTGCATTTTTTTATAAACTGAGTGGGCAGATTCATTTGCATCTCCCAGTGGGCAGCCATGGGCGTGGCCCAAAAGTCAAACGCCAAAGAGTTGCCTTCACAACAGAAACAAATTTGCACTTCCATTTTAATTTCGCCTGCCTTCTACCCAGTGACTCTGGCAAATCCTTTAAAAGCGCCAAGAAACTGGTGCAAACAATTCAGGATTCTTCCTCTAAAGTGAACTTTCGCACTTGGTGGTCGCCAAAGTGCGAAAAAGTGGCGAATTGAATACATGGCATGAAAGTGGAAATGTGTCTTTAGAGTGATGAATTTGTGACAAGGATAATATTTAAATGTCAGAGGTGATGGATATTGATACCCAGTAGTGGCATACAACTATATTATCTATAAGCACACGCTCGAACTAGATTAAGCCACCTATCAAACTGTATAGCTACTTCCAAGCCATAAAAAACACAATTAGGAGCCGTTTTGTTGCTGCAATTTTATAGCACTTGTTCGACATTTAATTACGCTAATTTGTATGCAAACTGCAATTGACACGGCGACAGTGAGGATGGCGACATAGAATGTGTCCTCTAACGAGCTCCTTTTTACCCTTATCCAATCTAACACATGCTTCGTCCTGTGACTCATTTATCACATATGGACGTAGACTTTATACTAGAATTAAGTATTTGAGCATGGATCAAAACATTTAAATATAAAGATTTCTTTAGATTACATTTTATTTGTTTTAGTTATTTATTAAAAGATCTAAGTGCTTTAATAGGCTTAAAAATGTACTAAATAACCAACTGAATCGTTTTGTTCGAGCAGTTTTCAGTTATTATTCTAAATATATGAAAGTTCCATATCATCATTCAGAAGCTCAAGATCACAATTTAAGTATCCCAGAAGTAAACAAGTGAGAACGCTGCAGTCGAGCTCCTCGACTATCTGATACCCGTTCTACCTGTTACATACTTTTCAACGAATCTAGTATACACTTTTGCACTACGAGTAAATGGTATAAAAATGTTCAGTATTTGTACTTTGGTGGCCTCCGTTCCTTTTTCGCCTAAAAGAAGAATACTATATAGAATATCTTTGCCGTTGGGGCAATGCAATGCCGCCCAGCTCCACCCACATCCTGGGTAAAGACATCAAACGCAGCTGCTCCTGAACTCTGTGCTATTCCAGCTGCTCGTACTAAGTCTTTTTAGTGGGGCTCCTCTTGGGGCAACCGACTATTACTTTTTGTCGCATTCCTTCAGCTTCCGCCGGCTTCAAGTTGTGTCCTCCAGCGCATTTTTCCACATGACATGCGTTTAACAGGGACGAGTTGGAGAAACGAGGAGGAAAAACAATAAGGACCGAGTAAAAGGGGCAGAGACAAAATTTGTCAACATGTTTATAAGTTTACTTTAAATTTGGCACTACTGTTTCTGTTCCTTTGACTTTGGCTCTTACTTTGCCCTTGTCAATTTTCATGGTTTTTCATGGTTTTTCATAATTGCACTGCTAGTCCTCTCGCATTTATTAAACCTGAAAGTTTTCACAAGACAGTCAAGGAATTTATTTATTTAAATTGCGAATAACTAAACTGCAATTTTTTTTGCATCACTAAACTGTGGAATAAAATTATTAATATTTATAATAACGCATTTTCAGGAGAGAAAGAGGATTGAAAAATATTTTTGTATTATTTTAAGTCAGTCTAAGAATTTATTTATTTAAATTGCTGAACTGCATCGTTAAAGTTTATGATAAAATTAAAAATATTAAAACAAGCGCATTTTCATGAGAGAAAGAGGGTGGAAAAATACATTTTTATTATTTTTTGTAAAGATACTTTTGTGCATCTGCTTCTAATGTGGCTCTTAGAGCCGGGAGCAAAATGACTTTTCCCAGCTGTGGCCGCTATCTCATTTGATGTCGTTGCAGTTTCTACGACACTTTTTGTCGCCTTTCGACTTTTCCGCCTTTAAGGCCACCGGAAAAACACTTGCACCTGTCCAAAGTTGCGGACATGAAAGTAAACTTTTATTTATGGAAATGGGTTAAAGCTAAATTGCTTCCTCGTTTTGAGGCAAAAAGGCGAACAAACTTTGAGCTGTTTGGCAGGAGCAGGGGCTGTCCCCATCTTTGGCTCCTCGACCAGCGGCTTTATTTTGGGTTCCATGCCTGCTGCCTTTCATCGCATAAACTATATCTATGGCTCCAGGGACCTTTTCATAAGCACGTTTTTATCTGCTTTACACATTTGTGCGTCTCTTCAAATGGGAACGTGGCTTGGGGGAGGGTCAAGCGTGGGAGGTCCTTTTAGCCCCATTTAGAGTTCGCCAGTAAAAGCTTCTCACATTCACTCCCAATCCAGTGCCCCAAACAGCAATTGTGCGTTTTAGCCACATTCTGCTGATTTTGTCTCTTTTCTCTGTCATTGATTTTCGATCATAATAATTTCATGTGCTTTATGTGCCGGAAAGTGCCCGCTAAGAAGGACGAAAGCCATCTGCCAATCCATTGCAATGCATTTATCCTGCTCATATGCTAGGATTTCAGCTGTGCAATGATTTCATTTTTATGATATTCCGTTTGCCTCCCCATTTCCGTTTCCTGTCTTTTTACCAAGACATTCCATAAGCTCATTGTGTGCTTTCTTTTTATGACTTTATAATGTGGACAATATCATTGTACAAATGTTTTCGGTCTGATTTGGTAAATGGCAATTTGGTTAGGTAAGACTTCGATAAGAAGGACAATAGTATACATTTGTTCCGACCCTAAATTATTCAGTAATTAAACTCTTTCACGTAGAAGTATATATAAATAGATTTCACAAAATACGTGCACTTCTAACAAGGAAGGCTTATATTGTATTTTACCTGAGAAATACATTCTTGAAGACCACGCGGAGAAAAGGGTACTGCTAACCCTAATCTTCTACCCAATTTCTACAACCTAATTTCGCCGCAGACAGGGGAAACTAGATCCATGTCGAATCAGATGTTCAATCAAGTCCAGAGCATTATGAAAAACGCATGACAACCGAAACAACTTAAGGAATCCCAGGAACAACAACTAAAACAGCCAACTGACAACTTCACTTATTCCAGTTGAGTTGTGACATCCTGACCGCAGGCAGTTGGCAAATGAATTCAATGGGAGGGGAAAAGGAAAGCCGGCAAGAAAATCCAGTGAAAAGGCGTTGGAACGTTTCATTTCCTTCAACGTCTGTCGGCACTCAAGCCGAAAAAATGATGGGATGGCCGAAAAAAATTAACCGCAGGCAAATCAAAGGCAGAAGAAACCTCATTAAATTAATGCAAGCCTCAGGAGTTTTTCTCCAGCCCAAAAAAAAAAAAAAGCCGGCAGGAAGGACCTTGGTTAATTCAAGAAAATCTGGTTCGGCGGGTGTTGCCAAATTGTCCCAAAGATATGAAATGCCTGATAGGCGTGGCCAAAATAATTGGCAGGACTCCTCAAGGACCACAGTTAGCATAAGCCACTGGATCAGTTGTGATTGTAAGGGGAGAAGTTTTGTTAGATTATATTATATAGTTTATATACATAACATGCAAAATGGAAACGGATTTTCACTCTAGATGGTGGCTTCAATTAAAATGACAGTCTACACCTTTGATATTTTTCTGTAAATGAAGCTTTATCAACATACTTAAGCCCACAAAGAGAATGGCGTACAAAATGAACTGAAAATCTATCATGTTCTAAACCCTATAGCACACGATTTCCAATCTCAGACAATTGGAATAGTATAGGTTTACTATCTATCAAAGGGCCACCGAAACATTTATAAAGCGGTTTTCCATCAGGGAAGCCAAATCCGAAAACATTTTTAATGCATGAAGAGGTTAGCAGAAAATAAAACAACCAAAAGCCCTCAAAAATGCGACAGGCTGAAGGGTTCAAAAGAACTTTTTACATTTTTTTCACTGGCTACACGACATTTCTTCACCAAATTTTAAACAATAACATAAGAAATCCATGAGATGTTTTACATACAACCCCAAAATATGGCTAAGGTGTATAAAAAACAATAATTTTCGGGCATATTTTTTAATAAACCAGATTATAGCTATTATTTTGCTGTTCAGTGTAGTCTTTCATACATATTCCCAATGTGACCGACACAGATTTAGAGGGACTTTCGTTTTTGTCCCCGCTCATGTTTATTTTAGCCAGCAAATAAAAAGGATAAACAACAACTGGCAGCCATGTTCAACAGCATTTTTGCTTATAAGTCTCTTTTTTTCGGTTTTTGATGTACTGGTGTGTGTGTGTGTGTGCCTTGAACCCTTTCGGCACATTTGGCTACGAGCTACTGGTGGCAAAGCCAGTCAAAAGCTATCCACTCAATCCTTTGCATATTGCTCATATTTCTTCAGCATCGCTGGCTGTCTGCAGTTTTTGCCATGTTGTGTGTGCGGTCCTTTTTCCTGGCTCGCTGCTTAGTCATGCTCATGAAACGCGAAAAACGCCAGCATGGAGATGGAGAAGAAGGAATTTTCCAACTGTAAACAATAAATATAAACATGGAGCGCTGTGGGCGGAATCATAATAATCCCATACCATCGCCATCATCGTCATTATCCACATGCTGTCGTCAGTCAAGTTCAAATGGCTGGCAAATTTTTTTATAAACATTTACCATATACCAACAAATGGCTAATGCATATAGGGTTGGGGCCAAGAGGTGGTTACAGCTTTAGAAAGTGGATACGAGGTGAGGGAAGGGGTTCCGGCCAAACAAGGGAGCAGTTATCCATAATGCAAGATAACACTGAAAATTGCAACTTCTATTCTTTGCTCCCTTCAATAATTTTTCTTCAGCATTTGGGCAAGTTGGTAGCTTTTAGTGTAAAACATTACAATAGCTCAAAGGTCATAATAAATCATGCTGCGAAATAAAGTATTTGAGTACAAAGCTCATTAGTAAAGCCGTTAATCTGATTCAAATCAAACAAAGAGACAAAATAGAATCCTTAAAAGACACATTTTCCCCAAGATGGCTGCATATTAGCTTATGAAAAACTAAGAGTATTTGTTTGCTTTCTCAACGTGCTCAATTATTCGTCGTCACTTTCACTTTCGCACCTACCACATGCAAAAAATATTAGGCCCACACACAAATAAATTGATCAAATATTTATTTATGGCCAGGGAGAGTGTAAGCGAACCGAAAGAAACTCGAAAAAGCCAGGAACGAGAAACTAGAGAATGCGATGACAGCAAAGTGATAGCCATTTGCTTACCTTAAACGCCTACAACTCTGATCGGAATGAAACGAACTCGTAAATAAATACTGAAAGCATAAATAAAACAAGAGTGAATGGGTGGAAAACACTTGCAGAAGCGACCCATTTCCACGTCAGCGCAGTGAAAGCGAGCGAAATGTAAATATCAAATGCTACACATTTGCGTTTGAGCTGAGCTGAAAGGCATGGAAGTAAGTTTTGGACTTGATTTCCACGCCACTTCTGTCTGCGAAAGTTGTCATAATAATGGCTTTTCCAAGCCCACATCTTACTCTCTTTTTATTTGCAGTGCTTTCAAACTCAGAAAATGGCAGCCATTTGTAAGAAAGTGTAACAAGAACCTGGCTGAAAAAACGTACATATATCCTTATCGATTGCAGTCCTTTACCGCTCACCGGCAAAAGCCTTTTAAAGTAAAGCGTTTTGGTTGGCATAATATGGCATTGATTTAAGTTCTCCTTCAGTATGTTTTAAATGATCCACGATTCCGTTGTGGGACATCAGTTCACTGCGAAAAAAGTTTCCATACTCAGGAACCCTTACCTTTTGCATTATCGCGCTGCTACGGGCTCAATTCGCGCTTAATGGGTACTATTGTCCGCCACTAATCCACGTTCCGTGTCCTTTCCTTGCAGTTGCAAATGCGAAAACAACAATGAGATGCTGGCACAATGCGGTGAGGCGCAGAAAGAAGAAGCCGGAGGCGGCGGCGCCAGCGGCGGCGGGATCAAAGGGGGCGCACGGAGGCGTGGCAGGTCCGCGAGATGCAGATGCCAGCTGCCAGGGGCAGCAACAAGTGGCCCTCGACACTTGGCTAACAACGCAAGCTGTCCCTCTGCTGTGGCTGCACTTGTTGCTCCTGGTCGCATTTGCCAAACATGCGGCTGCAGCCACCACAATTGCCACAAATCCCGAGGCCAGCACAACAACAGTGGGCAACTACACGACGACGACCACAGCACTGTCCTCGTCCACGGCAGCCACTGCAACGGGTTCAGCTTCTGGTTCCGCACCAGCGGGCGATAAGTTCTCCGGCAATTGGGCCAACCTGGAGGATTCATTCAGGAATGTCGTGCGCATCGGCGATGGCAACACGGTCACACGGGTAAGTCCAACAATTCCACTTCCAAAACCGATCTATAAGGAAGAGTGTGGGGTTTTTAATTGCTTTAACTCATATAAAATGGGTTTTCCTATATCTATTTCTTTGGCTATATTTTCACATGTCTCCACACAATTACGTTGTGTTGTTTGCATTACTTTTCTTAAAAGTTGTGTGTGTTTCAAAAGTGGATCTTCTCGATTACCTTCCGGCATTTGCACCTTTAGAAAGGTGTATTCCGCGCTGGCAGCACTTCATGTTGCCTAGTGCAAACCCATTTAAGCCGCAATTACACAGGAGTGCAATTGAAGTAATGAGAATAAGTGTTGCCCAAGAGTGGAAATGAGGGGCTTTAAGTGTGGAGCCGAGTTCAAGGTGCGTTCTGCAGCTTGGGGCACGCGGCTGAATTTAATTGAATTGCGATTGCAGGCGGGGCCCACTTGAGCCCCATTTCCCACTTCCACTCCACAATTAATAAAGTGGCCATTTAGGGTGCACTTAATAATGCTCAATGGGCACGATAAGAGCTGTCGAATGCAGTACGCTAGGCAAAATATTATAGGGTCTCAGGATATTACACCATACAACGAAATAGTTTTTAATCGCCTTCAACAGAAAGTTGCAATTCCTAACACACCATATTTAAATATGCCCTGCAAATACCCATAAAAACATTTAATTATGGCATATTCCTTTAGTTAAATACCACAACTCACACAAGTTGACTTCGGAAAAAGTTTTGGCGTATTTTCTTTCGGCTTAGTGAGCATAATGAGCCCAGTTAATTAAGTTAAATGGTTAGCAGTTGAGACACGCGAATTTTGATGTAGACACTTGCCGAGGAAAATTCGTTGGAAAAAGCTTTAGTGTAACTTAACTTCCGCATTTGTGCTCCATTTCTCTTGACCAAAATCTTATTGTCTTGGCTTGTCAAGCAAAACACAAAACACTTGCCTAACAATGGAAGCTTGGAGTGAAAATTCTCAAGAAAGTTTTCAATGCAATTTAAAGTCAAAACAAAACACAAAAATTTCAAAAATAAAAAGAAAAGTCAATAACGTAATTTTCCAATCAAACGATAAAAGGGTCTTAACAAATGATGGTGCCCATGAATTTTTTTCCCACCTATATATATATATATATATATATATATATATATATATATATATATATATATATATATATTTGTAATGCCTTTGCCAGCGAAACAGTCCCTTGAATAGACAACAAAAGGTGATTTGGGTAGCCCAAAAATATGAGTATGCACTCGGAAAAACGCAGTTGGAAAGTCATAGGGCAAACAAATTCAAAAACACATAATGAAATATACGTATACGTATACGTATGTATATATATAATATTTAATTTTGAATTGTAAGGAGATTTAAAAATGTTTAGATTCAAAAACTGTTTAAAAATATGTACATATATGGGATTCAATCTAACAAATAATTTAATTTTGAATTGTGAGGAAGTCATAAAATTTTTATATTTTTTGGCAGATTTTTTCCGCCGTTAACTTGGACTTGAATATATTTTTTAGTATAGTACTTGGGCTATTTCCACCCTCTTTTAAGCCGACTTAAATAATAACAATGACCCACTCCCCAACCACTTGCAGACCGCCATTGAACAATCGCTGGTGACGATACATGACATTGCCACCGAGAACTTGGGGACATTGTGCATCTCGACCCTATATCGCCCCCTACAAGTGCCCATCAACTCGGAACGATATGAGAGCTCCAGGCAGAAAACCGATTTGGCCGCCTCGATACTCCAGGAAGTGGGCATCATTCGGCACGGCGGTGAGTTTGGACCGAAAATAATTCCACCTACCTTCAGCCAGCATATATGTATGTACATATAGCCATATTTTGTATCCCATCATCGATTATTGATTTTGTTTTTGTTTGCGTGTGGGCAATGTTTGGTCTGTTATCGCAGCACGATGACATTTTCCTGCTGTGAAAATTCATATACCCAAGTCAATACGCGTGGCCCACATGCGGCCGATTAAAATATAGTATGTGTGCGTGGGCTTAACTGTAGCGATATGGTCTCAGTTCCACAACTTTTTATTGAATGGCGGCCATTTAAAGTTATTTTGTTGGGAAGGCCACACTGAAGTTGATTTTGGGATCTCGGTGCTCTGAAATTTCCAGCTTTTACCAGAACACTTTTTACTGCAACTCATTTGGGGATGACACATTCGGTTGATGGTTAACTTTATTAAATATTAAAAACATCAAGGAATCAGAGTTTTTTGCTCAAATACCATTACTTTTTAATGCAAAATACTTGGAGCTTTCATCGCTATTTATATATTAATTAAGAGTTTTTCATGAAAAATTGCAAAATAAACAATGACATGTTTTTCAATAATGCTTCAGAATTAAAGGAATTTTTTCACAATATCGTTGGTCCTACCCAGTTCAAACACGATCCTTCTGTTCCCCAAGTGGAAATCTAAAGCCCTTGTGCTGTGTAAAGATTTCCTTTGGCTCTCGAACCTTGTAAAATGCTGTGCATATATGTACTTATTGCCATGCATGTCCTTGCTTAATTTTACAAAATCTGCTCCTCTTGGACGCCCCCATCCATTTGTTCTCGTTGAGGATGTTCCCGTAAAAGGTTCGTGGGTAAATCACAGTTGAATACAAGAACGAATGCGACGGGCGACACAACGCACAATGTGAACTTTAAATTAAATCTACAGCAACAACGTTCACATTGGGTCGAACAACGGCAAAAGGACACTGAGTGGGAGTCGGTGCGTGGTGGGTCTGCAGGCGAAGCAAAAAAGGACGAGGCGTCGGCATCGCTTGATGCGCCACAAGTGCGTCGTTCCTTGTCAACCCCAATGCTGCAGCACGGCTGTCAGGACAAGACTTTCATTCTGATCCAGTTGCCAGTCGCCAGTCGCGCGACAGCAGCCTTGACAATGCCCAACAAAGTGATGGACTGAAAGAAAATATGAATGGAACATAAGGTGACCTTACACTTAAACATTTGCTTATGAACCGCAAAGCAAAGGTCAACCTTCTAGCTTTTACAGATCCCGAGATCCCGTCGTTCATACGGACGGACATACGGACAAACTTACGGACAGATGGGCTTGATTAGATGCTGATGAAGAATATATATATTTATTGGCTTCCTTCTAACTGTAACGAATATACCCTTACACGCTACCCTTTACCCTTTGCACTTTAAAGGGTTTGCCATAAGTCGCCAAGCAATTGAAACAGGACTAGGGACATCATGTTATTTGCGAAGTGTAGGAATCGTGCAATAAAACGCTATCAGTGTGTCATGCAGAGTCAAGGACAACCAGAGCAGCGAACGCACAATGAACTCATCGCCAGGACTCCGGTTCTCGGGCTTGGCATCGGATTGGGATTGTAAGGGTAGCTCGGACGTGTTGGGGCGCACAAGTTGCCATTATGGTCATGATTTCCACAGCGTCTTGAAACAGGCTGACAGCTATATCAGACTTTCCTTTCGTGCTCAAAAAGGTGAGAGGTGTCAGCGAAAATCGCAAAAGACGAAGGCAAATTGCTGCCTTTTGTTGCCGTTGTGTTTCACCTACCATCATCATGTTGAACGAAGGAGCGCAACAGGAGGCGGCCAATTGTATAACATTTTGGCACTTGCCTCCATTTTGGCCTCGTCCGACCATGTTGACTCTTGAAATTTTGATGCCGCGCATAAATTATTCGTATAGAGTGCCCTCGCAAATCGAATAAATTTAAGCCAATTTAAAAGGGCCAACATCGGTAGCCACTCAAAGGATATCTGGCGAATGTGAGAGCTGCCAGCCTTTGGGCTTAAGGAAAAGGGTTACGCATGGAAGGCCCGTTTTATTTAGGGACAAGGAAAAACGGTTTGATTGGACTTCCTTTATGTTTTAAAAACAATTTCCTAGATTATAGAACAAGAAACGCCTGGAAACCTCAATATTTACATTTAAAATTTACATCTACATTTATAAATTTAAATAAAGTTGTGGTTCACTTGTGCCATGTTAAATTTTTAATTGGGAATATATATCACAAAACGTTTAAGGGATTTCCTTGAATTATTCAGTCGCCTTTCCCACCTGAGTGTTCCACTTGCGGCCCTACAATATTGGACCCAAATGTCCAGTTTCAGGCAAACCGAATCTCGGGTAAATTTAATTATTCCTGAAACACCTGGCATGTGCAAAAAGAAACCCACATGAGACAGCAAAAACATGTCCGACTGTAGTTTGAATAATTGCCAATTTTACACACCCTGCAAGTTTTGTTGGTCCGGACAGCCAAGAAAAAATGGGAAACACAAATTGTTGCCATTGTTGTTATGTTGTCTGCAACACCTTTCCTGCGCATAAAACAAAAACAGGCCCAAGAGCCAGTAAATCCACCCACTATCCAAAAAGTGGCAAAAAGATTGATGACGGAATACGAACGAGTGCGGAACAAAATGGCTGAGCGGATGATGAATGAGCCCGTGACCCATAAGCACATCATTCACGTTATTCATGTTATTCACGTTATTCACCTTCTCAGGTGAAAACCAGCTGACAGCCACTGCGAAATGTTGTTTGCCATAAGCGTTCTGTCGCGGCCACAATTTTCACAGTAGCAAACGGATAAGAAGTACGCACAGATGTGTACACCGTAAAAAAATTGTTGTGTACACTTCCCACAAAGAAAGTGTTGAATACTAGTGCTCAAAGAAATATTACAAGTTCCTAACAGCTACATAAATTTATTTATATATTTAAAATATATAAGTTAATATAAATTATTAACAAAAGGTATATATGCCATAATATTTTGAAATATAAAATTTTTGTGACTCGAACTTGAGACTAGGTTTAAAATTTTAGGAAATATACGAGAAATTCACTACATCCGGCCTAATTTACTTTTTTAAGAGTCGATGATATAATTTACCTTGCTGTTCTACTTTATTATCTTAAATGAAGTTCCATAATCTAGTGCACACACATTTAAAAACCCATAGAGCGACAGCACAAGGATGTATTTACTCGACTGGAATATGTAAACATAGAGCGCCGTTTTCCCACATATAGTGCCATATCACAGATCCTTTGTTTCAGTTTCACTCCCTCGACACGGATTAAAAAAAGTTAGCCAACTAAAAATCGCACGTACTCGGTTTATGTTGCTTTCTCCAGGAAAAGAGGAAAACTTTCCGAGTTGTTGGGCGTACCTTGTGCAGTAGCAACAGCAGCAAACAGGAAAAGGAAAATAAGCAAACCCTATACATACTAAAACATAAAAATAAAGAAAGTGCCACGGAAGTTGCGGTAATCGAATTTAAATAAGTTTACTTTGTAAACAATTCTCGTTTCGCTTTGGCTTCCTCCCCCTTTTTTCCATCGCTGAAAGTTAAACAACAGTGATATCCTTTTGGGCGTTTTCCCGCTAATCTAGCTGGTTTTTTCTTTTGCCCTAAATTTATTGTTAAATTGTAAAGCACTTAACAGCCTTAAAAAAATAAAATATTTTCGGTACAACTTCTAGCTAAAATATTTTAAAATATAAAAGGAACTGGTTTGCGATTTCTGCAAATCGTATTCTTATTTGCTATCTAAGAACATGTTAATGGCACCTGAATATCTTTGAAAGCTATGAGTGTTTATGAGTATTTAGCTATTTTTGGGATTCGTTTCTGATATCCTGTCAGCACAGGAAGTGGCGAAGTGCGGACGAGTGTTGCAAAAATATTAGCTTTTGACAGGCACCGCCCACACACTTGCACGCACTCGCGAGGGAGGGAGCGAGAGGGAAGGAGGAGGAGAAGAAGAGGGAAAGAGAAGGCCTCTGATGTCCTGCCGCGCATATTAATCATTGTTGTTGGCTTGACACTTCCGCCAAGGCCGAAAGCACAACTGCAACAAGGGCGGCGAATTTTAATGACTGTTTCAAGGTCGCAACAACAGAAACAGATGTGGCAAGTTAAGCACTTAAAGTTTTGCAGAATGCCACTCAATTGGGTAAACAATCGAAAGTCTCGTGGCGCGATTAAAACATTTAACTGCACATGTATAATTCATGTGACTGCATATCATCGTTTAATTAAAAGCCGCGCTTTAATTAACAAAACAGAAGCCATTGTTGCTGAAGAGAATGTGTTATAAACATGTGTTAAGTACTTGGAAAACGCTTGAATTGAAAACAGATCTTTGCAAAATATTTATAGAAGTTATTGCAAACTTTATCATTTCATATTAGCCTGAGGAAAATGTAGTTACTGTTGCAATGCAATAAGTAGGAATAAATAAATATGGAATTATCCTTCAATGGTTAACAACATCGGTAGTTCGGTAGTTTAATAATTCTGCATGCGAACATCAGAATTATTGCAATCGCTCAATAATGTTGAAATTGCAAAAATATTTATGTAAATCACGGAGAATGCAATCAAACGAAGCACGTCGCTGGGCTGGGAAATCAACAATGGAAATGCATTTCCCTCTGGGAAATCGAAACGATGGCGGGCCGAAAATGAAAGCCGCAGACCTCGCAACATAAATAATTAAAGTTGGGCAATTTGTGCTCTGTAATCAGCAATTACGGGCAGTCAAGTGACACGACCAATTGCAAGTACGTTGTGTAATTACTTTGTGCGCACTTTCATTTCATTTCCGCCACCAATTATTGAAATAACACTTTGGCCATCTCACCCAGAATACTAACGATGGCCGCCGCTCTTCATCAACAGGACTCTCGGATGCTTTGGCCAAGGGCCTGCTCACCGATGACTTTATAACCGGAGCCCGCATTTTGGCCCTGAATCTGACGAACGGAGCGGTCCAGTCCTACGTCTGGTGGGTCAAGGGGGCAGCGGCGGAGACCCAGCGGTACGACGAGGACGGACTGCAGATTGGCAAAAAGCCCGCAGGCAGTTATCCCTGGTAGGTGGAACGGGCAGTTTGTAGATTGGATCAGCAGGTGTGGGATACGTAACTGACAGCCACTTTTATTGCATTTTAATTTAATATCTTGTAGAGCAGCTTAGTGCTGCGATTAGGATTTTTATCAGAGAATTACAAAGGAAATTAATATTTAATTATATTCAAATTTAATAAATATTTAATATTTATTAAAATTTTTGCATATTTGCATGTACTTTACCTTTCAATTAAAAGCTTTCGCAAATCAGAAGTAATGCCAAAGACTTATTATTATTTGAAGTCATTATTCTCTTTGTAAAAAGTGTATGTGTGGGAATGGTACATTTTGGTAACTATTTGTTGAAGATAAAAGCCAAAGTGGCATCCCTTGCCCTGGAAAACTCATCTGGAAACTCCTCCGCAGGTTCGACGACGAGACCTCCTCACCCACGCTGCGTTCGCCCAAATTCGCGCCCAGTCCGCCCAACAACTACTACAAGGGCTGGTGGACCTTTCCCTACTTCTCGTGCTCCCAGAGCCGCTGGCTGGTTTCCTACAGCATCGCAATCCCGCCGATTGGGCGCCACGGGCTAAGGGGCTTCATCAGCATCGACATCGACGTGTCCACGCTGCGGGTCAACCAGTGCGAGGCGGAGCCCTATCCATTTGGGAGTCGCCGCCAGAAAGTGCAGCAGATGCAGCCGCACAATCGCCTCGGGGCGCGGAGATCCCCCTTTTTGGGCGCCAGGATGGCCCCCATGGCCATCGATGAGGGCACCATCAACGATCTGCAGGCCTTCCACAGCTCCCACAAGTGTCATCGCACCTCCATGGTGGTGAGTAAATGTTTAAGCTGATTAGTATAGTAGTCCTTATTATAGATTCGGCTTAGGTTATGATAAAGCTTTTTAGGCAGGCTTCTTGATTTATAAACAGACTAACGAACTAGTTACCCTTGACTTTACATTTGCCCAGTTTATACATTCCATTTCAACTAAAGGTAAATAGCTTTGCTGGAGAACCGACCTCCGGGAGCCACTTACTTAAGACCAACCACAAAGGTTATATTTATGAAACCAGTAGAGAATGGGAAAGAAGTGCAATCCATTGCCCGTAAAGCGTCTCAATGGAAAACTGAAAGGATCTGTGAACCCAAACGGATCTGGCACCAGGCGATATAATCTGCGATCTAATACTCCGCATGCCGTTTATCGCCGTCCATCCGTGCTAAGGCGTCGAGGTCGTAGCTATTCGTCATTTAAGAATTTTATTAACAAATTCAGGAGAGCGAATCCAGGAAGTCTGCTTGCGGAGGGCGTCTCCATTTGGCGCAAAATGAGCCGTCAGGAAAAGCGACCCTTTCAAAGGAGCAGCGCTGCTCGATTGCATGAAAATCCTTCTACACATACGCAGGTTCAGGATGAGCAACTTTCACTCATTGCCAATGATGAGGAACTTTCACTCATTGCCAATGATGCTATAGTTCTAGTGCCATCAATTGAAGTCAACCAATCGAGAACGGACAGTACGCCTTCTATTTTTAACAACTTTTTAAAAGCGATTTATAGGGCCATGCACTTATTTTACTAATTTTTGATTGCTTTCCAAATTGCTTATGTATATAGTTGAATAACCGCCAAAAATATATTATATATGTATTAATAAAAAAATTAATTTAAAAAAATTAATACAAATCCCATTTATACCCATTACTCGTAGAGTATAAGGGTATACTACACAGACATAGACGCAGCGCCCACAAACCGACCAAAAAAAATGTGGTATTTCTTCACTTTTTTATATATTTTGTAAATTTCTATAGATTTGCAAAAAAAATTTTTACCACGCCCGAACTTTTAAAAATGTTTTAAGTTAAAAAATAGCTGTCTACTGACTCCGATTTAAATTTAAAAGTAAATATGATTTGGGTGCCACAAAAACTTGTTGTGCGGGATCAAAGTGTTGTGCTAGTACAAGTTTTTGTCCAATTTGTAAGGATTCCACCTGCGGCAGCCTAATCCTAATGCATTTGTTTGCCTCCTTGCAGTGTGACTACCGTCAGCCGAGTGCGGAGACACCGAGCGTAACTGGTGGAAAACTGCTGACCACGCTGACCGGAAGCAGCAGCTGGACCCGTGGATCCTACCAGTGCCTGTGCCGCGGGGGTTTCTACTCGCTGCGGCATCCGGACGGTTTCAACGGCACCATCATGGAGATTGCCTGGCAGGAGCAGCAGGACAACATAAGCAATTACTATTCCGAGGTCTTCAAGTGTTTGCCCTGCGCCCCCGGCTGCGACACGTGCACGGGTCCGGAGCCATGTTTGGCCAACTACCACTGGCCATTCAGGTGGGTATCCGTGTGCATTTTATTGGCCAGTGATGGGAGCAATGATACCTACGTGTGTTGCCACGCTGGCTGACTTGCTCAGTTGGCAAATAAAAATGGGCGGATGAAGACATTGCATTTACAGTAAATATTACTGCACGAAGGTCTTCATTTTCCGCGCATTTAAGTCACAAAACAAAAAATTACTTTTTAAACCAAAAAGTCCGCCATGTGAATGACTGTCCTCTCGCTCCCTTAGAATATCCCTGCTGACCATATCCATTGGCTGTGCCTGCGGCACCTTCGTCCTCGCCGGCTACCTCTTCCGGCATCGTCGCGTGAAGGTCTTCAAGGTGGCCAGCCCCATCTTCCTGATGATCACGCTCATCGGCTGCGCCATCATGTATCTGGAGGTGAGTACTTGAGTACTTGGGCCATTGGGGACAACACTCTTAACCCATTAAAGGGGCAGAAGGGGCAGAAACACACAAAGGCCATTTGAAAACAATGTTGCTAATGCGACAAAAGGCCCAAAGTGGTCGGCACGCGCGCATTCATAATTAACCCACATGTGTGTACCCGTTTTGGCCCTTATCCCACTCCCATTTCAGACGGTAAAGGGATTTGCGAACAAACCACCACATAAAAGTCCCACTTATGGGTTTTTAAATGCGCCTTTTAAGCACTTACGCGTCGAAAGGGTATGGCAGATTTTCCAGATTACTTCGTGACGAAAATAGTAAGGAAGTCAAATATCTTGGCTCAAAATATATTAAAATAAATATTTTAGAGTATAACGTGATAGAGTTCATTTTACTCAATCTACAGCGAGATCCTTAGTATTACACTATATCATTTAGTTTGCAATATGAAATGTTACAAGTGTAAGGTATACCACACATTCACCAGACAAAGACGTTTAGTTTGCTTTTCCGAGTTCACTGGCGGGCAATTATGTTGTCCACATTAGCAAACCTACAATGCTGAACCCCCCGGTGGAGACATAAAACCACCTTTCAGCCATAAAAATAGCACACAATGGCAACACACGAGTTTAGAACAAAAAACAAATGGGTTAAGAGGTGGAACAGAAGAAGGAACTAAAAGAACAAAATTGTGTCGATTTTCCAATCAAAATGAACACATATAAACTACAAAAATTGTTTGTAAAGAATTATGAGTAAGAAGTCGCTTAAAAGACAAGATGAGCACGCAAAAGATACAGATTCTGAGGAAGAAGATGAGGAGGACTTACAGGCAGCAATTAGGGAAATGGTCAAGACCCCTGACATAGATATAAGTCCAAGTATAAGTGGACGGCTTTCTCAGGGTGTAATCGAAGAAGAGTGGACACGAAATGTGCTTCGAACAAATCAATCTGAGCGTGGATCGCAAACGGGCGATGGAAAAGATACAACTTCAAGCACAAAGCTAAAAAAGATAGAAAGCGACGATAGTTGGCAAGCAATTCTCAGTAAAAGGTTTGCTTGGACAAATAGCAACAGAACTGATGCCAAAGCTGATCCATTGGAAGAAAGCCAACATAAACCGAATACCAAGGAATCCGTAAAGGATTTCACGGAAACTACAAAAAATGCAAACAAACCTTCTACAGACACCTCTAACGAATGTCTAATACGAACAGAATACTATGAGAATTCTAAAATAAAAGGCAAAGCAGCCAAATCAAATAAAAATAAGTTAAGTGATGAGGAATCGGGCGAGGAATCCCCGGAGTTTCTTGATAAGTTGAGAAGAATTGAGGAGGCCTCGAAGCCCAAAACTTGGAAGAGACCAACACCAATAGTCACATGGCCAAATCAGAATAGTTCCGCCACCAAAAAGCCTGAAAATGCGGTGGAGACCAAGCCACAAACAGATACTGAAGCAGCGCATGGGTATATAAATATCTTGAAGATACCATTCCATCGTAGCTTATATTATGCTCCAGAAGATCCATCTAGTCCAGATAAGGGTGCAGCAACATCAGATTCTCAACCAGAAACTGTCGATGGCTCCGCAGTGGATTCTGCGCAAAAGGATGACAAAATGTCGCCTGAAAATGTTGAAAATTTGGAGGAAAGCAGAAGTGGTAAGTCCGATTCGCAAAGGACTGTCACAATCACAGGACACTCGCACATAACCGCCAAGTGGGATGCCCACTGCCATTTCAAGGATAAGGAAACTGGAGTGGACAAGGACGCTAGGCGGGTGTTGATAATCGCCTGTTTCCTATGCGGGCTCTTCCTGATACTCGAAGTTGTTGGAGGCGTCTTATCCAATAGCCTGGCCATTGCCACGGATGCTGCTCACTTGCTAACGGATCTGGCCTCATTTCTTATTTCAATTTCTGCACTGCATTTGGCTGGCAGACCCTCATCGGAGCGCCTCAACTTCGGATGGCATCGTGCTGAAGTCATCGGGGCCATGGTATCCGTATTCTTCATCTGGATAGTCACAGGTGAACGGTAATTATTCGTCCTGGTAGTTGAACTTTGGTCTTTCAAAGAACTGCGTTAACATATTGCCATGCCAATTAATCATTCGGTCAGCAGATTGATGCCTTTTTAAGTCCTTATAATATATCGATTTAAGAACAGCCATCTGTAAGCCCGAATTTGAAATGGTGGCCAAACATGTTAACTGCTTCAAATTAAAACAAGCTGTCTTGTGTGATTCTGAAAATGAATCTACGATTCCATCCCAGGCATCCTTGTGTACATGGCTATAATGCGTTGGGTTAACGAGGATTTCGAACTGGACGCCATAATAATGCTGATCACATCGGCTCTGGCCATATTATTCAATGTGATAATGGCCCTTCAGTTGCAACACGGCCACTCGCACTCCCTTCCAGGACAAAAGGTGAGGAGGCCAAAGGACACGGGTTCGCCGCAAGGAAATAAGATGATCTCTGGGTTCCAGGACAATCGCCTACTGTTGGGAAAGTCCGTTTCCACCCAGTACGCGGCGAAGGGACATGAAAACATCAATGTGCGAGCTGCCATCATTCACGTGGTTGGGGATATCATCCAGAGTTTTGGCGTTTTCGTGGCCGCCCTGATAATATACTTTAGGCCGGAATGGGCCTTCATGGACTCGGTTTGCACGTTTGTCTTTTCGGTGCTGGTTCTTGTGGTTACGTTCAAAATCTTAAGGGACGTCCTCATGGTCCTGATGGAGGCCACGCCGGATTACATGGACTACGAGGAGGTGAAACGCACCTTTCTCTCTATTCCGGGTGTGGAGCACGTCCATAACCTGAGGATATGGGCCCTGTCCATCAATAAGGTGGCTTTATCCGCCCACTTGGCCATTTCCAAGGAAGCCGATCCCCAGCTGATCCTCGAGGAGGCCACCGCACTGATCCACAAGCGATTCAAATTCTTCGAGACAACCATACAAATCGAGGAGTATTCGCCGGATATGGAGAACTGCGGACAATGCTTAAGTCCTTTGGACAAAAATGCCAAACGCAAGTTCTCGGACCCGGAAAAGGGCGATGGCAGGGCTGGGCGCAAAAGCGGATCGGATCTGCAGCGAAATAGCAAAGCCTCGGGTTCTGAATGAATCTTATAACTTGTTCATGTTGCTTACTATTTGTCAATGTACTCAATAAATATTTTTGCGAACATATTTAAATTGAAGTAATTATGCAGCACAGTTTTAAAGTCCACACATCTTATTTTTTCAGATGGTAGCTATCTTTCCCTATCTGGACACCACTTGGTGTATTGCTACTAAATGGACGCGGCACATGGGCTTTTGCATCACCTACACTTCGCTGCTGATGAAAACCTGGCGGTAGTTGTATAATAAACTATATATGTTGTGTATATATAAAGTAATGCTTTCATTTAAAGGGTGTCCTTAACTTATCGTGTCAAGTCGGCCCACAAAATAAAACTGAACGATCAGCAACTCTTGCAGTGGATGGTGCCCATTCTGTTGGTCATGCTCATCTACTTGGGCACATGGACGATTTCGGCAACGCCCACAGCAGAAGTGGTAAGTATATTTCCTAAAAATTATATGAGATTCTAGGGAATCCGCTTTAAATGCGTGTATCTTACAGATCCTAGACCAGAGCCACTTGAAGTTCAAGCAGTGCTCGTACAACTGGTGGGATCACAGCCTGGCCATCGGAGAAGTATTCTTCCTGGCCTGGGGCATCCGGGTGTGCTACAATGTGCGGAATGCGGAGAGTCTGTACAACGAGGCTCGGCTCATCTCCTACGCCATCTACAACATAGCCCTCGTCAATATCGCCATGGTGGTGTTCCAGTAAGTGTAGTATTAACTAATATATATACAATATAATATATAAAATATATATAATCCAGTAATATTTGCAGCTTTTTAGTATTCCATAAAAACTATGTGTAAACCTGCCTTAGAGCTTGATATAAATTAATTAAATAATGTATTTGTTCCTTGCGAAGTTCCAACCTCTAAATAATATGTTGCATTCCCTTAGTCAACTTCTCGTAGTTTAAATCATACATTGCTTTACCGATCCAACTTACCGGAGTAATATTATTTATACATAGAGTGAAAGTGGCATAAATTCGCATGAATATGTTCACTTAGACATAGTGGAATCCCCAGCTGAGGAAGCTCCCACCTGCACTAAACTGAATTACACAGTTGACACATGTTGGGTAATCCAGAATGCTGGGGAACGCATCTCGTCCATTGGGGGAAACGAAAAGCTGCCCGTCTTACGCGGCCCGGTTTTAATTAAATTCCTTTGCTTTGTGCGCACTCGTGCTCGCGCGTAATCCTTTTTGTTGGTCACAAGGACTCGCATCCCTTCTCCATGCTCCATTTATACGGGCTGCCATCCGGGTGTCGCTTTGTTTACACGGACATTCCTGGGCATTCAGCCTGGCTTCCAGTTGTCTGTTAACCTGATGGAGTCCTAATAATTAATGCAATTTGTGGGAATGCGGGCTTCCCACGCACCTGACGCCATTACAATTGGGTTAGCCTAATAAGCCTAATTGGCTGCCACACGAAGTAGCCAGCATATTTGATGGCAAGATCCCTCCTTCTTCCTTGATTTGTTGATTTACTACTTACTACCGATGTTTCCTTGCAGCGTAATGCTCTTCCCGAATGCCGGACCCGATTACAAATACATGCTGGGATTTGTGCGCACCCAGCTTTCGACGACCACCACCATTGCTTTGGTGTTTGGGCCCAAGATTCTGCGTGTTTTCAAGGGACAGGGCGACAAGTGGGATCAGAAGGCCAAGGTGAGGAGCATAACAGCTTCATTCTCGCTAAATGGAGTGGGTCTGGTGCCGGAGGAGTCGCCGGATCTCTACCAGGAGAATGAAGAGCTCAAGGTAAGGCAACAGAGAGATGTTCAATTGGGCAGCTAATGATGTGGTATATGTCCGCACAGGAACAAGTCCAGAAGTTGGCCCACCAAATCGAGTTCATGAAGACTGTGCACATGCAGATGAACAACAGGCATCTGAAGCCAAAGCCGGGCGGATATTTCACCATAACTTCAACCTCGTTTCAAGCGCCATATAGCAAAAACACGGTTTCCACTGCGCAGACGCAAACTGGCAAAGATGAGAACAGGTGAGCCATACACATCCTTTTAAAAGGATATCATTTAATATATCTGATCCTATTTTCCTCCATTAGCACGCCAACGAAACTAAAATCGCCCAAAGGCAAAGTCTGACGAGGTCAACGAAGTGTTAAAGATTGCTCAATAGAAGTCGATGGGGGGCAGGGCACCACCACGCCGGTGGAGGATGCCATTGAGTTTAATTTCCACCTAGCGGATTCGGAGGAGGGTATGATTATCCAGGAAGGTGAGCGGCCAGGAGCGGAGGAGGAGGCGGCCTTGATCGCACAGTTTCGCCGCCTCTTTGCGCCCATTTTGGATGACAGTTTGAATCTGTACTACCAACTCAACGATTTGGACGACACGGAGCACGTGAGGATCCATCAAACGGTGGCCCAGATGAACGACCTGACCAGCAGCGAGGAGGAGACGATGGTTACCCAGGTGAACAGTCCATCGCCACCTCCGGTGGAGGTGGAGCTGCTGCTCCCACTATCCAGCGACAGTTCCACGGCCAGTAGTTCTCTGTACGCCATTCACACGCCGTCTCCGGCTCATCCCAATGGTGTGCTCCTGGTGCCCCAGCATTTGGAGTCACCGATGCTGTCCGGCAGTGATAGCATTACAATCACCGAGCAGGTGCAGCTGCATAATCCACCACACCATCTGCAGCTCCTCGAGGACGGGAACAACACGTCCTGTTCGCTGTCATCGAATCTGACGGATAGCAAAACCCTGGATGGTCGCACCCCTATCGTGGTCTGATGGATACTCCAATCCCGATCTGCTTAACTTGTGATTATGTTTACACAGTCTTAGAGCTACAACAAACAGTTAGCGAGAAATAAGCCGCTTAATGTTTAATATAGTCTTAAATAATGTTTGTGTGTATGTGTCTGTCAAAGTTGTTTAAATATTAAAGGCGTTTATGCGGAATAACTTGTATTTCTGCTTCGAGTCATTAGAATCATTTCATTGCTTAAACTATTTGAAGTGAATCTTCCAGTACTCATAGAAACCCCGAAATGTAGGAAATATCCCACCAAATATATTTTAAAGCGTAAACATGACTTCCTAACTTTTACGTATCATCTCTTCAACTTTAAGAGCTTTCCATCATCTTAAATTCTCCAGCCGCATAAACGCAGTCTTCATGTGTAACGTTTTATTTTCGCTTTTTAGCCATACACCCAATCATTAACCCATCATCCGTGACCTTCATCGTTTTCAAAACCGCAGAAAAGTATCAACACTGAGCAAATTTTTCTCACTTCGTTCGGATCGACAAAAGGAAGTTGTATAGAAGAACGTAGGCGCCAGTTGGTCTGTTGGGTCTCATAGAGTCCATCGGAGCCCCTAGGGACTTGGCATTAATAAATCTCATTTATCTCTCATGCACCTAGCGAAATGAATTGTATTTTCCTTGTTCTCGTTGCACTCATTCATAGAAAAATTTTTATTTGCCTAGTAGTTAAATTTACATGATTTTCTTGGTCATAATCTATAGAAGCCTACAAATAGGCTTAGCGCAGAGTCGATTTTAGTGTATACTGATATTATAAATGAGTAAATTGAACATTTTAGCGTACTAGTTTAAGCTGAGAAAGTGTTAACAGACGCGCAATTCTTCTTCGTAAAGTTGGGCAATACGTATAATATAAAAAAGTATTTAAAAACAGCAAGCAAGAATACAAATAAAATATAACTGAGTACGAAACATTCAACGTTTATCAAGTAAGTTACAGTTAAATTAATATATTGTAATGGAAACAATATGGCAAAATCAAAAACATCAAGAATAAATGTTATACAAATGAATCAAATTGGTTTTATTCATTACTTTTTATTTGATTACTAAATGGTCAAGTAATGCATTTTCGCTATATATTTTTTGAAGTAAGAATTGTGCTCCATTTTCCTAAACTACAAGCACGCCCAGTCATTTTCACTCTGATTTGGAAATACTTTTGTAAGTCTAAACAAATCCACAAAATTTCTCATTATGAGGCAGCAGCTGCTGGACGAGGAGTTCGAGAATCTGCGACGCGTAGCCTTGGCCATTTGCGAAAATCTAGGAAGGCCAAAAGATCGGGAGATATGTAGAAGCACCCTGGAGGATCTCGTCAAGTTCCACCAGGCTTCGTCGATCAGGATTAAGGAAAATGTGCATATTTTCCTGATGTTCTATCTGAAAGTTCTAAGATGGACGCACAAGAATCAGCCTTCGGATTTGTATCGCAAATGGGTAAGTTCAGTCTTGCAGTTCAGCAGCGGTTCCATGGGCTCAATTATTTATTTTTCAGTATGGTCAAGACTTTGGCAATTCGGCCGCCAACTCTGTCGATGAAATGCGCGTTTGGTTAGAGGAGGGAAAGTCCTTCTACGCCACGAAGACGTTTGAAGACGGTTCCATCACCATTTACTCAGCGGTGGTCAAAGATCCGAAAGCTGGTTGGTCACAAAACGGTCTGAAAACTCTAATGGAAACGCAAGCCGGCTGCGTTTTAGATCGAAATGAAATTTGAATGGTTTAATATTCTTAATATAGTATATATTTCCACTTTAGGTGCTTAACTCGAGATTCCGTGTGTACAATTTACTGGTGTTTCGATATGCGGAGGGTATTCTGGTATGGCAGGTAAATTGTACTAATATGGGCAAAACTTTCAATTGTCAAACGTTTGCATTTTCGGAATGGTCTATTTTGGTATATCAAACTATCTATAAATATAGTAAAATCATTACTGAAACGCATGTACATTAAGTTAACTTTTCAAATAGGGAAGGCGAAAAACGAAATTTACAATTGAATACGTTTCATTTTAAACATTTTATCTAGTTAAGGGCTTCTTAAATTTACCTGCCAGATAACTAGTATACCTTTGTTTTCAACTTTTCGACTTAATTCTAGGCAGGAAAAGATTGGACGGAATGTGATCCTGATATCAAAAGTCAATCCTAGCTTAAATTTCATGTAGAGTGGCGAAAGGCACTTTTTTGTGTTTTGTTTGTGGTTAGGGTAAGCCCGGTTTTCCTATTAACTTCTAAAAGTTCTGGAGGCAACGCCAATTAGCAGAAGGCCCAACAGAAGCTGCAGGGATCCATGCATTTGAGCTAAGCTGGAGCCATTGCAGCTGTCGCTGGAGCAATAGCACTCCTCCCAGTACACTCCGTTGTCGTAGACTCCCCAGTTGCAGACGCCAACCACTCCGGTATCGGAAACGGATGCACATCGCCGAATCACCTGACGCCAGCGACCGTCCCCTGGAAAATATAATGTAATTGTTAATTTGTACAAAAATATTTGCCATAAAAGAGAGATAAGCCTTTACAAAACTATATTTCACCCAATGGGCTCCATTAGGCATTTCAACGAACTAACAGCTATATTCTTCATGTTGAACGATGAGAAGATTAACCTACATCGGCAAACTGCAAAGCTACTAGACTCGTGAGTTTAAAGAACCAAATCTTAAAGGGAGCTCTTTTCCCGGATCATGGTGACCGTGGGAAAATACAGAGAGCCTGGCAGATTACTTGTTGTCCTGGGGACTAGCTAGAGTCCCTTGTGGGGCGTGTGCGCCACCTACTCACAGATGAATCCGCGGGGTCCTTGCTGCACCACCTTCATGCAGAAGGATCCTGGCATGTGGCTCTCGTCGCTGTTGCACTCAATAGAAATGTGCTCGGTGCGGTTGAACCTCTTGTAGGCGCCACAGCTGTCGTGCCCCTTGCGATCCTGGTCGGAGGAGCACTGGTAGCATCGAATGGCCCAGCTGCCTGTAATAAGTCACCAATTAGTTTAAATTACCCAAACACTTGCCAAAGCCACACCCAAAAGCCGAGATTAGAAGGTGGCATATTGGGATTCCTGCGACGGTGTCTTTATGACCTACCGCAAACGGCCAGGGTGAGCAGCAGGAACGTGCAACGGAGCATGACATTCATCTTTCACTTAAAACTGTATTGTGCGCTTCGATTTACTTAAATAAAATGGGATTAAGCCAGGAATATAAATAACGCAAGCCCCAGTGTGACCATATGGTAAGCAGCGCTAGAATACCAAGTAAGAAAAATACCAACTTGTCTGAATTTCTGATTCTCTTTAGTATTTTTTTATTTTAAATATTATTTGCATGTTTTTATATGTATACATATATGTTTTTACATATGTTCGTTTCGTTATTCGCTCGTTAAATGAGATGGCATCTGTTTCTCTTTCTCTTTTCCACCATCCACGCTTGCTATATAAGTAGGTAGTAAATGCTCTGATCGTTTATTGTGTTTTGAAACGTGAAGAAGTGAACGTGAACTGTGGTAAAACTCAAATCGGAAATGGCCCGTACGACGCAAACTGCACGCAAATCGACTGGTGGAAAAGCCCCACGCAAACAACTGGCCATCGCTATCGCCCTGGAACAGGTGAGATCCGTCGGTACCAAAAGAGCACTGAGCTTTTGATCCGCAAACTGCCTTTTCAGCGTCTGGTGCATGAAATCGCTCAGGATTTTAAGACTGATTTGCGATTATATGTTTTTACGTATATGTATATCATTTTTCGATATAAAAAGTTTTGCATAGAGGGGGTATTTTTAAAATTCCCAACGGTGCTTTCGGGCTTGAACAGTATTGCCCCACGGTTTCGTTTTTTTCCCTGGTTTGTGTCAATGATAATGCATGTTAGAGGATTATCCGAACGCTGCGCAGACGGTCACACTACTATTTACACGCCCAAAAAATTATTCAATTGAAACGCGAAGAAAAACACAAATATTACGATGAACACGCTGGAGAAATGCGTGCTGTCCGCCATTGTGCTCTTCTGCCTGCTGCAAATGGGTGAGTTCTTGAAGCAAAAACCGCGCCTGCGCAACCGACAGTGAGAACAACCTGCGTAACTTCCTTTCCAGGCCAGGCGATCAAATGCTGGGATTGTCGCAGCGATAACGACCCCAAATGCGGGGACCCCTTCGACAACAGCACCCTGGCGATCACCGACTGCCAGCAGGTGCCGGATCTGGACCACCTGCAGGGCGTGCGGCCGACGATGTGCCGCAAGATCCGGCAAAAGGTGCACGGGGAGTGGCGCTACTTCCGCAGCTGCGCCTTCATGGGCGAGCCGGGCATCGAGGGCGACGAACGCTTCTGCCTGATGCGAACTGGCAGCTACAACATCTTCATGGAGTTCTGCACGTGCAACAGCAAGGACGGCTGCAACTCTGCGGGCATCCATCGGCTTGGACTTATGGGCGTCCTCTCTGGCACACTGCTCTCGGCAATTGTGGCCCATCTGCTGCGGCAATAGGTGGATACGCCAGCTCCAGTTGTAGCCAATGCCACGCCTCATCCGCCACAAGACTGTCCAGGAACAGGAAAACATCCAAAACAGCATTATTCGCAAACAGTTTAGCATGTTTGCTTGTGTGTTCGACTTAGATAGAAACTGGAAAGGTGTATAATTGTAACCGAGATATGTACCTAATATTTGTAACATTTGTAAACTACTTCCTTGAAAGCCGCTTAACTGGCGTACGGACAGTCTTGCGGAAAATGAGCGATGTGTAATCAAGTGCCTTTCTTTAGACGACTCGAATTGTAACTTAAGACTAAAATATTGTTTCCGTCCAAAAAGTATCTTACGCATATGACATTCCATCTCGTGAACAGAATCTTGTAATACTTTCTATTTTCTACATGTATTTTGTAATGTTTTTACAAACGCCTAGATTTAGTCGCCAAATGTCTTACAAGTTTTTATTGTAATGCAAAGACAAATATGACAATTTTGTAATTGAAATAAACGGTTATACACCAGGCGCCCATTGCTTCTTACCATTCATAACGTTATGGAATCCTTTCTCCGAAATGAAACCATCAAACTTCTTACATAAAGTACACTTCTAAATCTAGCCCTTGACATCTAGCTTGGAAGTTTCTGTCAAAAGGACTAATATGCAGCTAAATATCAGGATCTAGAATCTCTCAGCTCCTTTTGTACTGTTTTAAAATGTGGACCTCCTTGAAACGATTCCATTAGGAGGAGGAGTAATAGAAATGGGGCAATCGAACTCCATGTCCTGGTACACAATCTCACTTGGAGAGGAAATTTCCGTACAATCTAGGTACAAGTACGCAATTTCATTTCGATTCTCACAATGATTGCTTGGATTTACTTGAAAATATCCGCCAGCTTCCAAGAAGTCGTCGTATTTATTACGTTTGTAGACTGGACCTTCGGAATCCTCCAGATATTGGTAATAAAATTCCAATTTGTGTTTCACGCCACAGTTCGGAGGCTTTTCCATATTTTGGCGAGCAGTAACGCAGGTTTTCATCTGGAAGAGCATGTAATTATTCAAACAAAAACCCTTTGCTAGCCTTAAATAAATTACTTTCTAATTCGCAAAGCTTTATTGCTTTATATGGCATGAAGTTTTCACTGTTTTGAATCGGCAAAGATTCGATTCAAGGAGTTTATATTTGACCTAATTTCATTGTTCTCAAATTGGAACCGTTGGGAAAGTTTGATATTCGTAGTAAATACGGAAAACTTACATACATATATTTCTATAGTTTCTATTACGAGCGCATAGCTGTGTGATCAGCATAATGATTTTAAGTGCAATCTAATATATTCAATGGAATTTATAAAAAAAGTTATATTATAAATAGGTTATGTAAATAGCGCCGGGCTCCATTATCGATAATCGGCTTCTTCGCGCCACTAAATCTGCCATCTCTAATTCCTTCCTCCTTTCGTTTTTGTTCGTATTGTGCGGTTTCGGGCTTTTTAACGTGTTTATTGTCTTTCGATAGAAACGTAAATAAAATGTGGCTTTTATATACGTAAGGAAGTGAATTTGTGAATTAAATTGTGTGTGGCCGTCTTGTTTCGATCCTAATTGTGTTTTTTATCCGCCGATTGCGTTATCGCCATTTTCTTTTCTTTTTCCGCGTACTTTGTCCACCGTATTCTTATTGTTATTGTGCCGAGTAGTGTGCCGTTTAATTTAACTAATCCTTAGTAACTGATGGATTCGGGCCTCGACCTTGATGTTGCTTCCACTTCTGACGATTTCCCCAGCGAAATATTACTAAGCTTTAATCAGATGCGACTGGAGCTCATGGACTATCACAGGTACGCAAATAGTTCCTCTAATTGTATGTATGTATGTATGTAATGTATGTATGTGTGTTTGTTGCTAGAACTTGAGTTGCTATTTGTGACAGACGTCCTCCAAAGATTTGCCTTATAAACAAATGCCGGGATGACTTACCCCGTACAAATTAAGTTTGTTTTTTATTTTAGTTTACTTTATTTTGATCCATATTAATAGTTAACATTTACATTTCTCCTTTGTACAGGTATGTTATTCACACTTATTTCACGAGCTTCGGCACCGCACCGAACTTGGAGTCGGCTCACAAGCTCATGTGCAGGGCGAGGATCGCCAGGAGAGCCGTTGCACTGACAGCCAGGAGGCCACCTGCTCCGGATGCGTTGCACAGGTCACCCTTGCAGGTGTAGCAGCTCTCCACCTGCCGGCTGTGGGTCACCGTGCACTCGTCTTTCTTCTGCCCGATGGACTCAAAGTGGCAGTCGCGGGATACGATCGTTCCAGCACGGTCTGTGGAGTGGAATTCAAAACTGATAAGAGGACTTAAGACCTAAAAAGTCAAAATAATGCTCGACAGCTACTTGCGGCGCTTAAAACTAAGTCACCACGATGATTTTACACTAAATCATAAGATAATCTCAAGATCATAAGATAACCTAAATCGTGCATCGCACATACTAACGATGTTTTGAATTTGTGGCAAAAATTACTTCATTGCCTAAAACAGAAAATTTGTATGCTTTCTATCTTTGCAATCGATTTTCAGTTAGCTGCAGAAATATTTGCATACAAGAAAGCTATAACTATCAATAATGCAAGTGACTTATACGCAAAGTATAACATTTAGTAGCATTGTGGAAAAGCCACAATAATCAACTGCAGCTGAACAAACACAAATGTTAAAAATTACATCTTTTACAAAATGCCGCCTTTGGTAAATTTGCCACTATTATGCCCCTGTAAAAAGCGCGGAAAAATACTCCACTTTGTTTTCTTTGAATGAGTCACAGACTCACTCTAAAATTAATTCACCAGGGCTTCCTAATTGTACACTTAAATTTAATCAATTCTGGCTTTATTTTAAATATTGTTATTGTTAGCTTTATGTATAAACAACTTAGTTTGAATATTTCTTAGCTGGCGTTTGCCTACTTCCTATTTACTAAGTTATTTTGATTTCCCGTAGAGAATTAGGACCTACGGTACTACGACTGCGAAACGCACTGTATCTGCTTTGCATACGAATTCTGACTTTGTATTTCGTTTGCCATATGTTAATTGGAACTCGTACCCAGGTGACATCACGTCTTATTAATTTATTTTGTTGCGTTCAAGGTGCGTGCGCCTCTAATAGTAAAATTGGTATGCAAGAGGGCATCTCCGTGGGATTTCACTCACCGCTGGTGACCACCTTGTTGCACCTGGTCACTGGCTGCAGTTGGTCCATGATGTTCGGCTTGGGCACGCTGTCGCAGTCCACGGAGCGGATGTTGGAGGAGGAGTCGATCTTGTCCTTGGCGCAGTTGGGATCCGTGAGGGATTTGCACTGATAGCACTTGATGGCCGAGGCTGAAGTGGGCAGATTAGACGGAATAATTAATACCAATTCATATGCAATGGCTTGGTCAAGGACAGCCATTTGAATGTGATAGCTTGTAACCAGTTTGAGATCTCCATTTCGCTCGCAATCTCACTCGTTCGCCTTATGTAACGCCCTCAGCCGGAATAAACAATAACTCTAAGCTCGTAAACTTCTCAAGACCTCTGCTGTTTAACGACTATGAAGTCATTTCTATATCCGATTCGAAAACGTACGGAAAAATACGTGAATATTTCTGTATTTTATTTATTTACCTATCATTCGGTGCTGCTTCGGTATTTGAAATAATTGTGGGCGCTATTCATATACTTTTTCGGTGAACGTGATGACTTAATGCTGGTTATTTGCTCCATTTGCTTATGTCTATTTACATTTTAGAAATTCTTCTATTTTAAAACGTATATGTGCATTCATTTACCCAGAATCGTAATTGGTTTTCTAACACACCCTACGTTTTCACTCAAAACTGGTTATAGTTTGGCACCGATTTTTAATTTCTTTCCGGTGAAAAGTCACCCAAAGAAAAGTCACTTACCACTGTGCATCATGCACAAGGCGACGAGGAGCAGGGTAATCACTTGTTTCAGCATTTTGGGGCTGTTTTTAAAAATCTTGAATGTTTGTAAAATGTATTCGAATCACTTTCGGTTCGAACCGTTTGCCAGCCGCTGAACAACTGAAATTAGTTTTGGGTTTGTTTTAAGCACGCTCCACATTTGCAACTTGTTTTCGAGTGCGATAGGCTTGAAAAGCTTTGCTCATTCACTCAAGAAGCTGGCATTTGTCGAGTGAAACTCGGAACGAGTTATGTGTTTGTTATGTCAATCCAGCGATCCACGCATTGGGGTCACTACAAAATACAACTATTTTGTTTTGATCAGCAGCTTCGTAGGCGGTCACATAGTATATTGTATCTTTACTACTGTTGTGGGTACAATTGTTGTTAGCGGTGTGAATTGACTGCGGTTGAACTGTGGGCTTATACTCAATTAAACTCAGTGCGAATAATGGAATTTAATTGCACACTGACACAGTTCTCTGATTTGGGCTATCGAACTTTTCTCGGAAAGGTGATTGGCGGAATGAGTTCAATTGTAAGCCACTTTACTTGAGTGAAGTAATGGATGTACAGTTTGGCTAGATCTTTGTATAGGTAGGAGCTACTGTAAACTCAGTTGCTTGCACTTAAAAATTCTATACTTTTAGTTACTACTGAAGCCTGGCTATCTTAGGAAAAGAGAACTTTTCCTCAGTTCAGCGACCTTCAGCTCGTTTAATCCTTTACGTATTATCTTTGAACAGCTGAAGGAAAAAAGGACCTTGCAAGTGTACGCTTTTTGGGCACTGATTGCTTATTTTGTTGCATGTTATTTGAGCAATCGACTCATTGAATCTGCCTTCTTTGTCTGTTACCATGGCAATTTTGCTGTAAGAGGAAAATTCTTTGATAAGAACAGCCGTCTGGGGGGCAACAAATTCTATTCGAGAAGGAAAAGCTGGAGTTTGTCTATGGAAGTCGCAAAATTGCAATACGAAAGTACGTACATATCTATAAATCAGATTCATTTTACTACGAAAGCTGGCTTTCCCCTAGAAAATTGTCGCATTAAAGAAGCTCTTCATGGAAAATTAACTTTTCACGTCTTGAAGCTTTTTGAGCCACATTTCGTTGAGCGCAAAAATTTGTTTGTGTAGCGAAACTTGTTTCAATTGCGCCGCGAAAACAAAACAACATTTTTACTCAACGAGTATGTCAATTAGCATGGAATATCAAATATTAGGATCCACTCAGTATATGACTTGTACTTAAATGATTTTACTAACCACATAGCTATATAGATATATAGCAACAAATCTTAAAAATATTCCACTTGTATTTTACTAAATATTTTTACAGTTCGTAAACTTTGTGTTAAATGTAAATTATTTGAAACATGGATTCTTTTTTAAATTTGTATTTGTTAGTTTTCGTCATCCAAATTGCCCAAAATGTATTCAACTCATTTTGGTTTCGCGTAATTAGCGATGTGTCATTGGATCGATGCAATAGCAACATAATGAAAAACTTGAATGATAAAGGGTTCGGATTTGGGGGTCGACATAGGACAATTTCAATTTCCGGCCTCTCGGCGGGTTTTCGCCGTTTATTGTTCAAATATTTTGCATTCAATTGCATTGTCATGCCGCCAATTTGCCACATAATTGCAAATGGTGAAAAGGGGGAAATGGGGGAGTTGGGGGCAGGGAGTCGAATGTTGTGGCTCATGATTTATACAATACCTTAAGCGGATTTGCTTTTCCCATTTTGGCCACATCTCCATCTAACTTCGCTCGGCTTTCCTTTGTGGTGGGTGGTCAGCTGCAGCAGAAAATTCTGATTGAATTTCTTTTATCTTTTTTTTGCGCCACCGCATAGAGGAGCATAGAATTTTTTCTATTATATTTTTGATGAGGAGGGGGCATGGAAGCTGCAGTTGCATTCTTTGTCGACTTATTTCTCTGGAGATGTTTGCGTTGGTTTAGAATTCAATTATATATTGGGGAAAAGCTTGGCTAAAAATGAATGGAAATATCAGACAGTCATCCATTTCGTAGAATACTCTTTTTTAAATTTAGCTTGAAAGCTGCTATGTTCTTAAAAATTATGCTTATGTATAAGATAAAATAAAAACAGTAAGTTCCTTGCTGATACTTTTTCTTTTGAATACAAAGTACTGCACTTGCAGAGCAATTAAATGTCGGCTATGATTACAAACTCGTTCAGCTTGTCTGCGGCGTTATTGGGTGTTATCAATATTATCATCATGCTGTGGTTGATGCTCTCACCCCTTTTCATTTCATATTTCTACTGCCCAATGGGGACCAGTTGGTCCAGGTTGTATCTGGTGTCCAGTTGCCTGTTGCTGACCATTTCGCAATATGATATTTATAGCTATTTCATACTTATTATATTCAATCTGCTTTTCGTTGCACACGGACTGCAACAAATTGGAGAAAATCCGTCCAGGAAATTTGACTTGCTGTGCACAATTTTAATAAGTTCGGAGCGGGGGCATCTATTTGGTCTTCCCAATGTAATACGGCTCCGTTCGCCGTTCCTTTCCGTTCAGTTCTGGTCTGGCCAATTGTCATTTCATTTGGAAAACTTGCTCTACCAGAAACGAGCTGAAAATGTTCAATTTCGTCTCAGGACTTTCCTGCATTTAATGGCGGGTAAGCAGGATCGAGGAAGCAAAGTCCATTACCAAAAAACATAAACAAATTGTTTGGCACTTTGCAGGGAAACTAAGGCACGCCCATCTAATCTGCTCAATAACTTGGAAAATCATTGCCAATAAATCAAAATGACGTTGCAGGATGTGTGTATCCGAACCTAGAGGCTTCCAGGCCAACGATAAGAAATCAATGTCTGGCCATTGTTGGCTGAACTTGAAGGTCCTTTCACCTCCTCGCACTTGGTGGCAAATTTAAAATTCAACACTTCGGGGGCGGCATAAATTGCACATTTTACGCAACATCAGCAGAAAAGCGATAGAGTGAACTGGCACCCTCACTGTACTCAATTTCACCCCCGGGGCTATTTAAGGTTAACGCTCGCTGCTTTGCTTATTTTTCTAGATATTTAACGCTGCAGTTAACACATCATTTTTCGGGGCATTGTTTCGGTCGCCTTCCATTATCTTCCACTTGCGATCTAATGAAGTGTGCAAAGTGTTGTCTGCCCAACCCCAAAGCCCCACCTCTGTGTCCATTCTCGTATGCAGTGCGGTGGAGTCCCAGTGCCATCGCCAGATGCGTAGATGTGCCTGTTACCAGGATGGCGAATCGGAAAGTGTAATAAATGCATTTGAGCAGCACACAACATGTTTTTGTGTGCTGAATGAAATGAATAATTAACTAATTCTTCTACTCTTAATAAGTACTAGACTCATCATTAGTATTAAGTTACGTTAGTTTTGAGCGAGCGAGATGCTTATTTTTGTGTGGCTTGGTGCATTCGGTTCGGTGAGCCCCCTTGCAGCTGCCCCTGTTCTTTTGCGAAATGAGCCCCTGACCACTTCGCATTTATGCAGCGCTCCATCCGAAGCCAGCCCATCCCATTCCAGATGCCCCAAACTTGGAGCTGCTGAACTGCTGCTGCTGTCCACGTTTAATGTCACTGGCAAAGTCGCAAATTGCTGTGCATGAGCTTTTTATGTTCATGCAAATGTCACCAACTGCACCACTTTCTGATGGAGCTTCGCCAGTGCCAGTCCGCCTCTTTTGGCGCCGCTCCTTGCCCCTGCCCCTTGACTGAGGCTCAGGCATGAAGACTCAACTTTTGGCAGCACTGGAAGAATCGCAAGTTTCTTACTTGTTTGCTAGACGTGCAAAAGTTGGGCTAAACTTGTGTTTATAAGCGGCGATCCATAACTACTGAATATATATTAATTTGTCAAATAAAATCGTTTTCTACAATCATAGCAAACACAATATAATCAAATTTATTCTAATCCGTAAAATACTAAATATTTAAAATAATATAAATATAGGCACGGTTATTAGTATGAAATTACCAGTGTTTAGCTGAAGAATTCGCGTAGGTTTTATAATTATCTACAGCTGTGTGAATTAAATACAAATAGCTAATAGACTGGATCATCTTTAGTTCAAATCCTGTCATAGCAAACACAATATAATCAAATTTTTTCTAATTCGTTAAATACTAAATATTGAAAAATAATATGAATATAGGCACGGTTATTAGTATGAGATTACCGGTGTTTAGCTGAAGAATTCGCGTAGGTTTTATAATTTTCTGCAGCTGTGTGAGTTAAATACAAAGAACTAATAGACTGGATCATCTCTAGTTCAAATCTGCTTCGATAAATCACATATTTGTAATAATCCCATAGTTACCCTTAGTTGTGAGAATTTCTGCCAGTGCAGCTGGCAGAACTAACGTTCCATAATGTGCCGTTTGCCGGGCATCCCAGTCCATCGCTGCTCCCCGGTCTTTTGTTTGGACTGCAGCGAAAAATGCACTCAAAAGTTTACACAGGAAGGCCATAAGTGGCCCCCGAAAAGCTCAGCTATAGCCGAATCGAGCATGGAGGATGGCGACTGGAGTCCTGTCCCTCTGTCCGCTTGGCCTTCTCGGCTGTTGTCCTTTTTGGCCAGTAATTTTGCGCTTAGACCCAAAGAGAGTGAACGAGAAAATCCCTTGGCCCGCTTCCCTCGCCCATCTACGTTTTCTATCTCTTGTTTTCCGCTTAAAATCAGATGTCGAAATAATTTGCAACACGTCGCTTGGCACGTGGGCATAAAAGCAGTGGCTCTGGGGAATGGGGTGAGGAATACTGGATCTGGCCGGGCTTAAATGGCAGAGGAGATGTCTCCAAAGTGGCACGTGTTTATGGACTTTTGGGGAGCAAAATGATAGTGCACTTTTGTTTTGGCAGCAGCAGTAGAAGCAGCTCACTTGGCTAAATCTGAAAATGCAGTTTTGATGGAATTGAGTATAACCGAGATTCAATCTAAGTCAATACTGGCCAATACTGGCACGTTTCTAAGGGAAGCGTTTATGGTCTGTATAAAAAGTAATTAAAAAACAATGTTGACTTAATTACATGGCTATTATAGTACTAGTTCAATTTTAAATTAATTCCCTTTCAATATGATCGGGCTTACAAGATAAAGCCGAATCTATTCTTAAACCAAAAGCACACACTTCGCTTGTTTTCTTTGTGCCGAATGCAATTGAAGGTAATTTCGATGCACTGTCCATGTAAATATAACAAAATGAACGGGCATTTAACCAGATTGTGACATCGACATTCCCCTCACATCTAAACTAAAACAATCAACCGAGAAGAGCAACAGCAGTGCAATCCAATTG